AGCTCTTGTATAAATAAATAAATAAATCTTAAAAAAAAAAGCAGCAGAATATACATTCTTCTCAAGTGCATATGCAACATTCTCAAGGACAGAACACATTTTGGAACACAAAACAAATCTCATTAACTTAAGAAGATCAAAATCACACCAAGTCATTTTTAGTTCAGCCACAGTGCTATGAAGTTAGAATCCAATTACAAGAAGAGATTTGGAAAAATCACTAGTATGTGGAGATCTAACATGCTATTGAACAGCTATCAGGTCACCAAAGAAATCAAAGGAGAAGTCAAAAAATATCTGGAAACAAATGAAAATACTGATAGGGAATTACAAAGCAATTCAGGCTTATCTCAAGAAATATCTTTAAATAAACAATAAAACCTTACATCTAAAGGAACAAGAAAAAGAATGAACAAATCCCAAAGTCAGTACAAGAAGGAAATAAAAATCACAACATACATGAGATAGGAACTAACACAACAGGGGCCTCCCTGGTGGCGCAAGGGGTTAAGACACAATCTATGAAGCTATCCGCAGCCATTGCAGCATGAGTTCGATCCCCAGCCAGGGAACTACCCACATGGCACAGCAGACCTCTCCTGACTCACCCGCTGCTCCCCTCAGCAGTGTATTTCAGTCAAATCTGCCTGTTCTGTTCCCCACTCTGCCTCTGGTGAATCTTCTCACCCTTCACACCTCTGGCCTATACCCCATTCTTGTATGCATAAATAAATAAAATCTTTTTAAAAAAACACAACAGATCCATAACTCTTTAAGAAAGAAAATATTCAAATAAATGAGAAATGAAAAGTGGTGAAGTTATAATACACCATAGAAATAGAATAAGAAAGAGACAGCTGTAAACACCTGGCTGCCAGCAAATTGGACAGTCTAGAAGAAATGGAAAAATTCCTTGACTCTAACAATCTCCCAAGAATGAATCACAAAGAAACAGACTGAGCACAAGAATTAAAACAGTAATCAGCCTCCTCAACCCCCAAAACAAACAAAAGTCCTAGGCCAGATGGGCTCACTGATGAACTTTACCAAACATTCAAAGAATACCAATCCTTCTCAAACTTCCAGAAAGTACAAGAGGAAGGAATACTTCCCAACTCCTTTCACAAGACCAACAATACTCAGATACCAACACCAAACAAGAACATCACAAAAACCAAAATAAAGGTCAATATTCTGATGAATACAGATACAAAAATCCTCAACAAAACATACACAAATGGAATTAAAAAATACATCCATGTATGACAAACTGATAGCTAACATCATACTCAGTGGTAAAAGACTAAAGGCTTTCCCTTTAAAATCAGGAACACAAGGATGCTCGCTCTCACTGTTATTTAACCTAATACTGGAAGTCCTCGTTAGAGTAATTAGGCAATAAAAATAAAATGTATTCAACTTGGAATGGAAGCAGTAAAACTTACTGTATGCACATGACATACACATAAAGACTTCACCAGAAACTATTAGAAATAATACAGTAAAGTTGCAGACTACAAAAACAATATGCAAAAAATCTGTTGCATTTTATACACCAAGAACCAGCTAAAATAAATATGAAGAAAGCAAAGCCATTTATGATATTAAAAAGAATACCTATGGGCTCCCTGGTGGTGCAAGAGGTTAAGTCTCAGCATTATGAAGCAATCCGTAGCCCCTGAAGCACGAGTTCAATCCCAGGTCAGGGAGCTACCCACATGGTGCAGCAGACCTCTCCTGTCTCACCCGCTGCTGCCCTCAGCAGTGTATTTCAGTCATTCTGCCTGTTCTGCTCCCCACTCTGTCTCTGGTGAATCCTCTCACTTTTTCCCTGCCCCCACCTCTGGCCTACACCCCAGTTCTTGTATGCATAAATAAATCTTTAAAAAAATAAAAATATCTAGGAATAAAATTTAACCAAAGGAGTAACTGACCTGTACACTGACAACTATACATCTCTGAAAAAAAGCTGAAGAAAACACTAATAGGGCCTCCCTGGTGGTGCAAGGGGTTAAGCACAGCACTATGAAGCAATCTGCAACCTCTGCAGCACGAATGAATTGGATCCCCAGCAGTCCAAGGAGCAACCCACGAATTCTAAGAGTTTTTTGGTTCTGTTTCTGTGAAGAATGCTGTTGGGATCTTAATTGGGATTGCACTGAATCTGTATAATGCTTTAGGTAAAATGATGATTTTATAAAATGTTGATTTATCTGATTCATGGGCATGGAATGTCTTTCCATTCATTGGTGTGTTTTTTAAAAAGATTTATTTATTTATTTATGAAATACACTGCTGAGGGGAGCAGCGGGCAAGTCAGGAGAGGTCTGCTGCGCCATGTGGGTAGCTCCCTGGCCGGGGATCAAACTTGTGCTCAGTGGCTGTGGACAGTTCATAGTGCTGAGACTTCACCCCTTGCGCCACCCCAAAGCTATTACTTATTTAGGAATTTTCAAAATCTTTTTTCTTGAAGGACTAAAGAAAGCATGTACTGAAAAGTATACAAATCATAAGTTTACAACAAACAATTTTCACAAATTAAATATATCTGTATAATCACATGCCCTGAAAGCCCCACTCTGGCCACTTCCATTGATCAAGGGCAAATACTCTCTTAACATCTAACACCAGATTAATCCTGCTTGTTTGAAATTTATGTAAATAGTATAGTATATATTGCATAAAAATTTTAAAGGAATAAACAGAAAGTGACCTCCAAAAGGGTGTACAGTAAGTATTTAGAGACATTCCCCCTTTTTTCTTCTCTATTTCTTTCATTACTATAACTTATTGTTAAAATACCTTTAAATAGAGTCGATTACCTACAATTCTAGAAAACTTCAGAACTTCAATTCTTTGTCTATCATTTTTACAAACTGGAAATATAATTTCTAGCACTATATCCATTTCAAAATTTCACACACAAAAAACGAATTTGAAATCTCATAATATTCATACAGTAAAATTTTACTTTCTTCCATTTCCTCCCAGTTATCACAAAAATTTTTAAAAAGATCACAAAAGATTAAGATGAAAAGTACTGAGGGCACCAACCTCTTAGGCAAAGGCTGACTTGGCTATAGACCAAGGCAAGGCAGCCTTGAAATTTTGGAAGGAAAGAAATGCGTATTCTAATAGTTTATATATTTGTTTATAAAGAATCAAATCAAGAGATACCTCAAGGCCACTTTAATGTGCTATTTTATGTATACATTACATCTGTTTCCAACACCTAGGAATTTGAGACAGTGACCAGAAAATAAAATCATATTCATGATAGATTACGTTGCTTCCAATTCAAAGTTCTCTCTCTCTCTTTCTCTCTTTCTGCATGCATACAAGAGCTGGGGTGTAGGTCAGAGGTGCAGGTGGGGTGTGTATGAGAGGATTCACCAGAGACAGAATGGAGAGCAGAACAGGCAGATCTACTGAAATACACAGCTGACGGGAGCAGCAGGCAAAGCAGGAGAGGTCTGCTGCACAATGTGGGTTAGCTCTCTGGCTGGGGATCAAACTCAGGCGGCAGATAGCTTCATAGTGCTGAGACTTAACCCCTTGTGCTGCCAGGGAGGCTCCCAAAGATATTTGATGTTGGGCCTCCCAGGTGGTGCAAGGGGTTATGCACCGCACTATGAAGCAATCCGCAGCCTCTGCAGCACAAGTTGGATCCATGGCCAGCCAGGGAGCAACCCACATGGCGAGGCAGACCCCTCCTGTCTCGCCTGCTGCTTCTCTAAGCAGTGTATTTCAGTCAGTCTGCCTTTTCTGCTTCCTACTTTGTCTCTGGTGAATCCTTCCCACCCCTCTACCCCCACATCTCTGGTCTGTACCCCAGCTCTTGTATGCATAAATAAATAAATCTTTAAAGAAAAAAGCTATTTGAGGCTAACTTTCTTAGCAATTCTAGACAATGACCCTAGCATAATGGCTATGCTTCAAAAATCACTTTTTGAGGTTTATTGTTGTTGGCTGATGTAAATATACTCACTACTTCCTGGCCTACTAATCAGAAACTCTGAAAATAAGGACTTGGTGCACGTGCATACTTTTAAGATTTCTCTAAGTTGAAAACCTCTAATAGTTGACAATACAGTTGACTAAAGATACCATTTCATTTGACACATATGAATCAAATTTTATTATAGGGGCGTCCCTGGTGGTGCAAGGGGTTAAAGCACCACACTAGCACTGTGAAGAAATCTGCAGCCTCTGCAGCGCGAGTTCGATCCGGGGCTGGCCAGGAAGCAACCCATATGGTGCAGCAGACCTCTCCTGCCTCACCCGCTGCTCCCCTCAGCAGTGTGTTTCAGTGAGTCTGCCTGTTCTGTTCCCCACTCTGTCTCTAGTGAATCCTCTCACCCTCCCGCATCTCTGGCATGTACCCCAGCTCTTGTATGCATATATAAATCTTAAAAAAAAAATTATTATAAGCACAGAACCAATGCCCATTTGAAAAGTTACTGGTCACAATTTATGTTGGCTGGATGAAGCACAGTTCACTTAAGAACACTGAACTCGATGTCTGAAGACCTGGTTCTGTGAACATTCGAGAAGTTAGCATTCTGAGTATCTTTTTCATTTATAAAAATAGAAAACCAATACTTGCTCTGCCTTCCTAATAAAGTTATATCCATAAGTGAAAGAATAAGTAACAAAGCCATACTAAAATGTAAGTCGGCACTAATTTAGTGAGACTCAGTTGATTCCTTGGGGTCACTACCATCTATATAGACCCAAAATGCTGTCTGTCTGAAATGAAACCAAAACCTTCCTTTATTCATCTAAGTAATTAACTAGCTAACTAGCAAACTCAAGTCAGGTGTGAAAAGGCTAGGGCAGTTCTACCTCTGTTACTGAAAACAGACAGTATGTTTATTTTCTACTTCTTGTCTTTCAAACTCTATCATCTCTCGAACTAAGCTCTAACCAATCAAGAAGAAACAAAGGTCAGGGGAATTGGTCCATTTTCTTTTTCAGAAAATACATAATCAAAGACAAACCTCAGCCACAGTACTACGAATACGATCCACGACCTGCTCGAAATCCACCAGGCTGAAGAGTGGCTGCTGCTTGAGACGATGTAGTTCTGCAGCAAAAGTGTCCTCCTGGTTTTTCAAAATGGAGCCTGCAAAACAGGAAGGCACTGTCAAAGAAAGAACAACCAGGGCAGGCAAGGTTTTCCAAACCTGGGAGTGCAGCTGAATTACCTGCTTCCCAGGCAATCTATCATGACTGCCCTGAAATCTCAGTACATAAGTTTTGTTAACCACTCACTCTCAGTAGGCATACTTTGGGCCTTTAATGATGTAATACACTGGGCAATGAATTTCCTACCTTTTCTAGTCAGGTTTACATTTTGATTCTCAAACATCTGGACAGATTCTCCAACAAACAGGATTTTTTCAGCAACCCTCACTGGAATGTAGGATGGCAAAATCTCTACTCGAAGAGAAAACTGTTTCAGAGATGGTGCCAACATGTTCTCTTCTTCTATCAAACGCTAATCAAGGAAATAATCTTTATCAGAATGATGTATAAAGAAAGAAAAACAAGAACACATTCAGTAACTCTCCCAACCATGTTTTATATTTTATAGAAATAGGAACTTAAAATCTGAAGTTGCATAATTCTTCAATAATCAATGACTTGGTTATACCTCTATTAGTTATTTATCCAAATAATATGAAAATTTTAATATGAAAAGATTTATTTATGCCTATGCACACAGCAGCACTGCCCACAACTGTCAAGTTATCCAACCAAAGTGCCCTCCAAAAGACTAATGGAAAAATCATGGAATGCATAATCAACAGAATATTAAACAGCTGTGAAAAAGACAAAAATAGAGGCATTTAGCACAAAAGTAGATGAAACTCGAGGTGATTATGTTAAATGAAACAAGTCGAAAAGTGAATGATATCAGATGGAATAGAAACAACAAAAAAAACATACGCAGTAAAATCTTGAACTTGGTGAGAGAACATAAGGGTTACCATAGGAAACTGAGAGGAAGGAGGAGGTAGTAAGAGGCAGATGGAGTATTGGCATGGGTGGTTTGGTAGAGGGTGAGTGGAACATGTGTACATATGGAAAAACAGAAATATAAACCCAAAAGATTAAAATTTTAAAAACTCTTAAATTAGGGCCTCCCTGGTAGCACAAGGGATTAAGTCTCAGCACCATGAAGCAATTTGCAGCTACTGCAGCACAGGCTCGATCCCCGGACAGGGAGGTGACCTCTCCTGCCTTGTCTGCTGCTCCCCTCAGCAGTGTATTTCAGTCAGTTTGCCTGTTCTGGTCCCCCACTCTGTCTCTCGTGAATCCTTTCACCAACCCCCACACTTCTGGCCTATACCCCACCTCTTGTATGCAAAAATAAATCTTGAAAAAAAAAATTCTTAAATTACCAGTGTTAGATATATTCCATTTTCAGGTGGCAGGATAGCATGGTGACAACTGGTTTGGTTTTTTTTTTTTTTTTTTTTTTTTTAAATCTTTTTTTTTTTTTTTTTTTTTTTTATAGAGGCATGTTTATTTATTTGTTTGTTTGTTTTGTTTATACATGCACTGGGTACAGTCAGAAGCACGGGAGGGTGAGAGAATTCACCAGAGCCAGAGCGGAGAACAGAGCAGGCAGAAGGACCGAAGTACACTGCTGAGGGGAGCAGCGGGTGGCAGGAGAGGTCTGTGCACCATGTGGGACCCTCCTCCGGTGGCCGGGGAGCAGCCGGGGATTGAACCGGTGCCACTGAGGCTGCGGGCAGCTTCGCAACCCAGCGCTCAACCGCTGCGCCACCGGGAAGGCCCCTGGTTTGTGTTTTTTTTAAACATTAGGATGTCAGTATTTATTCTGCCTTTCCTACTGTATAAAAAGTTGGGCTGTCACCAAAAACAGATGACTGTATCAAGAAGATGTGGTATATATACACAACAGTATAGATTACTCAGCAATCAAAGATAAACTCATGCCATTCGCAGCAACCTGGGTGAAGCTAGAATGAATTATGCTCAGTGAAATAAGCCAGAAGGAAACAGAAAAATATCAGATGGTTTCACTTATAGCAGGAATATAGGAGAACCAAAAAAGACATCAGTGTAAAAAAATAACAGTACAAAACACAACAAAGCAAAACCAGACAATTGTAAATCAGAGACATGCTGCAGGGGAGGAGGAGGGAGAGGGATCAGAGGGAGGGAGGGAGGAGCACAGGGGACTGAGGTGATGGTACACAGGGGCATTGGTGAAGGAAACTTTATGGGGACTACACCTGAGGGGGTGGGGGGGAGGCAAATATTGTTTAAAATGACCAATGATATAAAAAATAAAAAAAATTTTAAAAAGTTGGGCTGTCAATCTGGAACTCAGTTTCCTTAATCGTACAGTGGTATAGCTGGTCTCTAATTTTTTCTGTCTACATGTCTATGATTTATCTTCTATATGTCAGCTCTGCCCAGTTCTTTAGACTAGCCCGATTCATGTAGTTAAGTGGGTCTGAAAGTGTTGTTCCTGGAGCAGCAGTGTCAGCCTCACCTGGGAGCTTGTTAGAGATGCAAATTTTTAAACCTCACCCATCAGAAAATCTGGGGGATGGGGCAAAGCAATCCATCTTTTAAAAGGCTCCCAAGTGTTTCTGATGCACACTAAAACTTGAGGACCAAAGATCTAGGCAGTCCATGAAATCCCAAATACCCACCACCCAATTACTCAGGCTCCTCCCATTCCAAATTTGCATTTGATGTGACCTTCATCTGGCTCCAATCCTGGGACCTCAGAATCCATAATCCTGACTTTGATCACTGCTGTTCACCCTTTTTGTTTTGGGCTTCCTCAGGGCACTATGCCAGGCCTTCCTTTCCTCTGCTCTACAGTTTTCTTAATCACAACTTCATAATAAGACATCTCAAATCTTTTTGGGTCATAGGACTCTGCAATTATGAAAGCAACAGATCTTTCAAATGTATAGAGCATTTACAGACGCTCCATGGACCCCGGATTAAAAACATCAATATATTGATGACTTGTAAATCTGTACCTTAAGCTAGATTGCTTTCATGAGCTCCAGGTTCAGCCCAGTGGACATTTCACACAAGGATGTCAAATACAATGAGTCCAAAATTAGATCCATCTTTTCTCCAATACATTCCTTATGATCACTGCTCACCTAGATGCTAACGGTAGAAATGTGGATATTCTTCATTGTTCCCCCTGGACCCATATCCAGTTAATTCCTAAGACTACTTAATCCACTTGCTAAATATCTGTACTTTTCTCCATATTGACATACCACCTTGGTTTATTTTTCATTTAATAATCCCCATCAACCTCCTAACTGACCTACCTGTCGCTTTTTTTTAAAACCAATTCCCTTCACAGTACCAGAGTGATCAAAGTCTGATTGTGAAACCCTCTTGCCTAAAATTCTTCACTAGCTCCCCAGTTCTTTTTACATTCAAGTCCAAATTCCTCCCCATTGCTTACAAGGGCTTTCTTCAGTTTACCTCTGCTTAACTCAACAGCTTGATTGCCACTTTCCTCATCTGCTCCATTGTTCCTTATACTTTATATTTCAGGTCTCATTCCCTTTGCCTGGAACATCTCTTGACCTCTCTTCCCAACTCTTTGTAATTTAGACAATTTCTCCTGAAAAGACTTCTCTACTTTAAGACCATGATCCAAGAACACCCATACCTACTTTTTCCAGAGCACTCAGTATACTGTAATCTGTGTACTTCTCAATGTCTTCCATTAAGCTCTAAGCACCCAATGACAGAAGCCACTACATTTTATGTCTATGCAGTTGTGGCATCTAGAACAGTGCCCGGCACGTAACAAGACATTCAATAAAATGTAACAGGATAAACGAAGGGTAAATGAATGAATGACTAGATGGATGAATAAGGACAGTAACAGGGCTTTGGGGATTCTAGTCAAAATTCCAAACTGTGTGTGTTATAGTAGCCAAAAGACTGCCTTAAGAGATAAAGACTTGTTATTAATCCCTTAAATGCATATACTGGGAAAAGGGGAAACAAAAGAATCTCACAAGTATATTTTCTAATTTATAGTCTCATCTTAAATTAAGCTAAGACAAAGCCAAATGTTTACACATAAAGAATTTATGGGAGGTGCCCAGGCTATGATGAATAGAGGGGATAGGGAATCAAAAGATTATTGAGCTGTACATTTCTTGTTTCCTAGCTGGAATATGCTAGGTGTCTTGCTGTGCTCTCACCAAGTCCTGGAGTTCTCTCAATTGTTTTCCTGTTAGTCCCCCAATGCCCAGATCCTCCTCATCCTCTTCTGGCTGGGCACTGACATTACCAGAAGATGGACCCTGTTTGACAAAAAACTCTTCATGTTGGTCCAAGAGAAGTCCATGTAGCATCCAGGCTGAAAGCTGCTTATACATGACCCCATGACACACGGCCAGGATCCTGAGTGGAGAGGAGAGCAAGTGGAGAAGATATCAAGAGCCTTACATGTCAGCTTAGAGAACACTGAACCCCACAACAACACAGAGGGCATGTTTTAAACTGCTGCTTGATAAACAGGGGCCTGAGTTTGATGAGTCATAAGGGAAATGACTGATAAAGCTAAAAATAATTGTGCTATTTTAAATATTTGTGGATAGATTATGTGAATAAATTTCCAAACCTGTAGCCTATAGAGTAAAATCTAAAATGTTCCATGAATGTTCTGATAGTCTTTCAGGATAGGTACATTCTACCCCTGTCTTTTATGGAGAAAGCTTCAAAAGTGATGATTCTACACCACTTAATGTACTTATAGGATCTCTTTTTTTTTTTTTTAAAGATTTATTTTTATTTATTTATGTAAGCACTGGGTACAGTCAGAAGTGTGGGAGGGTGAGAGAATTCACCAGAGCCAGAGTGGGGAACAGAACAGGCAGACCGACAAAGTACACTGCTGAGGGGAGCAGCGGGCGCGGCAGGAGAGGTCTGCGCACCATGTGGGACCCTCGCCGGTGGCCGGGGATCGAACCGGCTCTGCAGAGGCTGCAGGCAGCTTCATAGCCCAGCGCTCAACTGCTGTGCCACCAGGGGAGGCCCTCTTTTTTTTTTTTTTTAAAGATTTATTTTTATTTATTTATACAAGCACTGGGTACAGTCAGAAGCGCGGGAGGGTGAGAGAATTCACCAGAGCCAGAGCGGGGAGCAGAGCAGGCAGAAGGACCGAAGTACAGTGCTGAGGGGAGCAGCGGGCGGCAGGAGAGGTCTGCGCGCCATGTGGGACCCTCCTCCTGTGGCCGGGGAGCAGCCGGGGATCGAACCGGCACCACAGAGGCTGCGGGCAGCTTTGCAACCCAGAGCTCAACCGCTGCGCCACCGGGGAGGCCCTACTTATAGGATCTCTTTTTGGTGAACACAATAGTAAATGTTTTATTTCTGCTGGAATCATATAGGGAAAGTGAGAAGCAGGTATACCTGAAGAAGCATCATCTAACAAAAAGGTTGTTGATGAAAAGAAAGGTTACAGAGGAGCAGAAAGGTTGTTGGTGAAAAGAATAGTGACATGGTCTCAAAGGACCATGCTCCAGATACCATATTAACTATAAAGTGGGAAAGGTCCCTCAAAAACGGAGCTCTGGCCTCCCTAGTGGCAAGAGGGGTTAAGCACCGCACTTTGAAGCAACCAGCAGCCTCTGCAGCACGAGTTCGATCCCTGGCCAGCCAGGGAGAAATCACATGGTGAAGCAGACCTCTCCTGTCTAGCCCGCTGCTCCCCTCAGCAGTGTATTTCAGTCAACCTGCCTGTTCTGTTCCCCACTCTGTCTCTGGTGTATCCTCTCACCCCCCACATCACTGGCCTGTACCCCAGCTCTTACATGCATAAATAAATCTTTAAAAAATAAAATGGAGCTGTGGTGGAAACACCTAAACTAGGTGATCAAAGTTCACACCTATAAGATGACAAACTTACTTTCTGTACCTTCGGATGTGGTGCAACAGGAAATAAAATTCCCTATATAGTATCCATGTTAAAAACGTTCAATGATTAAAGAAAAAAAAAGGGCAGGCTGCAGAGGCTGCGCTCTGCTTCATAGGTTGCATCTTAACCCCTTGCGCCACGAGTTCAATGCCCGGCCAAGGAGCGACCCATATGGCACAGCAGACCACTCCTGGCTCGCCTGCTGTTCCCCTCAGCAGTGTATTTCAGTCAATCTGCCTGTTCTGTTCCCCGCTCTGTCTCTGGTGGATCCTTTCACCCCTGCCCGCCCTATGGCCTGTGCCCCAGCTCTTGTATGCATAAAAATAAATCTTTAAAAGAAAAAAAAAAAAAAGAGGGCGAGGAAGGGGACTGTTCCAAATTAAGCGTCTTTAAAAGAAAAACAAATGCAGTAAACAGTAAATACTGATTGGACCCCAGATTGCTAAAATGAATATAAAGGACTTTTAGGGAACAACTGGGGAAAGCTGAGCATACTTAGGCTATTGTTGAATTAATATTAACTTTCTTGGGTGTAGTATGCTATTGAGGTTAAGGGAAACAAGCCGAAGTATTTAGGAGTTAAGTAATGATATCTGTGACTACTTTCAAATGATTCAGAAAAAAAAAAAATGTGTGCGTATGTGTAATATACACATATTTACATATTTATTTTACAATTCATGGAGAAAAAAAGAAAGCAAATGTGGTAAAATGTGAACCAGTGACAAACTAAAGGATACTAAGCCAAAGGTGTTTATTGTACTCTTCTTTCAACTTTTTGTAGATTTGAATTTTTCAAAATAGAAACTTGGGGAGAAAAAGAAACAAGAGCTTCAATCTGCTATTTGTAGTATGCTAAGTGATTAAGATCTCTCTTTGAACAAATCAAATGGAAGCCATCTACATTGATATACATCTACATATGTAGCCTATAAAATTTGGTCCCTGTAAATATATAACCTGTATATATCTAATTATCTGTATAATGGGTTTATAGTCTATCAAGTGAATATCTTTATTTAGCTTTTTCCTGCTGCTGATGCAGTGCAACATTGTAGTGACTGCATATTATTATTTTCTTCTGAATAATTTTTTAGGGTAAAATTTCCAAGCCTGACATTATGCGATATAAATACTTTTAAGAGCCTTGATATGAAAATAACTACTCAAAATACAATTTAGGCATAGCTAAGCATCACCCAGCTCATGTAATGGAAAATCTCCAAAGAAAATGAGATCCAAAAATTAAAAAGGATTGCTTCAAGGTCATCTAGACAACTAGATCTTAGCTTTGACACTTAACACTTTATAACCCTCCTTTTGTAATTTCTGAGCCATCAAGGATTACATGGATCCATCTGTTCATGTGGTTTTCTATCCTGGTCATAATTTTCCCCAGAGAGAAATCTGAGATGACCTAAAAATAAAACACATGCAAAATCGAGCCATTTGATCACCTCCGCCCTTAGTCCAAATTAAACCGTGACTTACTTTTCTAGTGCACTTCGAACAGGAGGCAAACCACCACAGCTGTGTTTGTATACTGTTTCCAAGATTTGACAACCATGAATCTGTGGAAAATACAGGCTTGTCAAGCAGGATTCCATTTTAAAAGTTCATGTAGCACAAACTCTTATTATTCTCTATCAATCAAGAGTGCAATTAGGCAGAGAATAGGGATAAACTTTTTCATAAGATTTATCTATAGTTCCTATTCTGACTCTAATGACAATATGCGTGTTTTTCCCCCACACCAAGTCATTCTCCAACACCATCTGGGTGTTCTATGGTTTAACTCATTTCTGACATTATTCAAAATTAAAGTTCTAAATAAATGGAAAACATCCCATGCTCTGGATCAGAAGACTTAATTACTCTTGGTGGAGTTGGTAGGTGTGCCCAGGGTAAATAGTGGGGCTGGACACAGGGTGGTGGTCCAAAAATGTGCTGAATTTTTATAACACATGCTTAAAAATGCAGAGTAAGTTTGAACTTCAGGGTCAAGATGTAGATTTACTAGTCACTGGTCACCAAGCACATCCTGGTATACAAAGCCTCCAAGATTTGTTGCAGAACTTAAAGAGCTCATGGTTGGATTAACCCATACATGAGCTTTCCCTGCCCTGAGATGACCCTTATTGAAAAAAATAGAGTTCCTCAAGAACAGACACACAGACCAATGGAATTGAATAGAAAATCCAGAAATAAACCCACAGATTTATGGTCAACTAATCTTTGACAAGAGAGCAAAGAATATGCATTGGAGCAAAGAAAGTTTGTTCAATAAATGGTGCTGGGAAAACTGGGTCGCTACATGCAAAAGAATGAAGCTTGACTACTACCTAACACCATACACAAAAACCAACTCAAAATGGATTAAAGAACTAGACATAAAACCTGAAACCATAAAATACACAGAAGGAAATATAGGCGAAACACTACATGATACGCACATCAAAGACATCTTTACAGACACATCACCCAAAGCAGTGATAGTGAAGGCAAAGATAAACAGCTGGGACTACATCAAATTAAAGAGCTTCTGCACAGCAAGAGACAATAACCAAAACAAAGAGAAACCCCACCGACTGGGAGAACATTTTTGCACCCAACACTAATGATAAAGGACTGATCACAAAAATCTACAAAGAGTGGATGAGACTCAACAAAACCAAAGAAAATAATCCAGTCAAAAAATGGGCAGAAAAGCTAAAAAGAAACTTCTCTGAAGAGGAAATGCAAATGGCCAACAGGCATATGAAAAAATGTTCAACATCACTTGTCATCAGGGAAATGCAAATCAAAACTACCATGAGATACCATCTTACACCAGTGAGAATGGCACATATTAAAAAAACTAGCAACAACAAATGTTGGCGAGGATGTGGAGAAAAAGGAACTCTCCTGCACTGCTGGTGGGAGTGCAAACTGGTCCAACCACTATGGAGAGCTGTGTGGAGATTTCTTGACCTACTAAACATAGAGCTTCCATATGATCCAGCAATTCCACTCCTAGGTATTTACCCAAAGGACACAGACATCAATTCCAAAGAGCACCTGCACCCCTATGTTTATAGCAGCACTATTTACAATAGCTAAGCTTTGGAAACAGCCCAAATGCCCAAAAATAGATGACTGGATCAAGAAGATGTGGTCCATATACACCATGGAATATTACTCAGCATTCAAAAAAGATAAACACATGCAATTTGCAGCAACATGGATGGCGCTAAGGGATCATGCTCAGCGAAATAAGCCAGAAAGAAAAACAAAAATACCGGATGGTCTCACTCATAGCAGGAATCTAGAAAATTTAAATAAATGGACCAGGAAAAAGAGTAACTATAAGAAAGAAAATATCAAAATCAACAAACAACTATGAACCAGAGACACTCTATGGGGGAGGGGGTGGGGGGGCGGGGAAAGGAGGGATTGGGGTCAAAATAAGGGTGCTGTAATTGTATGGGGAATATAAAAATAAAATTTAAATTAAAAAAAAGAAAAAAAATAGGGTTCCTAAAACAGGAGAAAGTTGCAAAGAAAAAATTATCCTAAAATAAACTGAATAAGCAAAAACTTATGGCTCAGGAATAAATTTAGCATAAAATACATGCAAATAAAAGTTGAAAGAAAACCTCACTGTTGAGAATGTGGCATTCCATTGTGTTCTTTCCATACCGTCAAGCAACTAACTCAGTCCTCCACTAACACTAGCCATTTAATTTAACTCAATTCTGACACTATCTTTTACAGAAGGCGAGCTTGAGGAGGCACATGGAGTAGAGACATGTTAAGAAACTGCGCTTGCCTTTTGGTCCTGAACTGGCTGAAAGAGACGCGGGTGAGAGGCCCGTGGAAAGGTTAACAATGGCAGCTTTTATCTTGATTTTGCTTCTTTTGTCCCAGATGTGTTGGGCCCCTTCTGCCCCTTTCCTACAGATCCCCACCAGAAGGTGCCTTAGATTTGTGACAGGCTTTCAGGCCTCAGTGGCCCTGCTTTGGGACAACCCTGTTTGGCTGGGCACTTATGGGGGTGGGGGGGTGGGGGGGGCACGGATGGGTAAATTCAGATGCTTGATTTGGAAACTCTGTATTGCATGCTATTGTATTAAAGTTCCTTTCCATTAAAGGTCTTATATTTTGTCTTGATGTGGTAGATGTCAGGACCTATTTAGAACAGCCAGGTTTGGGGGTTCTGGGGTGCCCCTCTCTGCCCTGTAACATTGACTACCTGGCCGTTAATAAAACATGGGCACAGTTATGTTGGTATCTGTATTTCTGACCAACAGGTTATAAGTCAGATGTTTCCACCCCTATTTCCTTGGGTCTGCTAGAGCAGATCACAGAAATCAGGAATCCAGTTTACTTAATAGATCACTTATTTATTACAAAGGATACTAAAAGAGAAGTCAGGAACAAGCTGGGAACAAACTTATGTCCCCCTGGTGTCAGAGCCCATCACCAACCTGGAATGTGTTCTAGTTCACTGGTCTGGAAGCTCTCTAAGCCCTATCCTTTGGGACTTTTGTGAAGGCCTCATTACACAGGCAGGACTGATAAACAATTAGCCACTGGTGTTCGAACTCAATCTCCAGTCCCTCTCCCCAGGTTGGGGGAGGAGCAGGGAGAAGGGAAGACTGAAAGAGTCAACCCTCCCCTGGCAACAAGCCCCCATCCTTAGGGGTTTTCTGAAAGCTAAGAGTAGAAAATTTAGGATGGAGGTGTCATAAGACTAGAAACTGGAGCTGGGGGTAGAGATGATTAACCTACTTGTTAAACCAGCTGTAGAAATGGAAAATTCTTAGGCTCCAAATGCTATTGTAAGTATCAGGCTGCTATAAAAAGTATCTGGAGGCGCACACTAGAGGTGGGGGTATAGAGACAGAGGGCCATTGTACAGAATCACCAGTCCTTATAAATCAACCTAGTCACATTCTAGAGTTAATTTAACCATAACAATTCCATAAAAGAATGAACCCCTCCCCCAAAAGAACACTACGTCAATACCATTTCTGCACTGGCAAAATGCAGCTCTCCTGTCTGCCTGACTATGCAGGTGTTTCTTTTCACCAACCTTTTCCCTTTGCAAAGCAGCAGCAGCTCTTGTGCCTGTCTGTGTCTATGCAGGTGCTTTTTAACAAATCTCTCCCTTCCAAACACAGCTTTCTGCCAGTCTGTGCAAGCATCTTCTTTCCTTTTTTTTTTTTTTTTAAATATAATAAACCTGCCCTTGTAGATATAACTCATCAAACGACATCACTTTCCAAAGATCACCTCATAAACACAAATTTAGGTGTGAGTGAAAGGGGTTTATTATAAATATCAAGACACTGAGGGAATTCCAAGTTTTGAGATCTCTCTGCCAGAAATAAATGTGTGTGCGTGTATGTGTGTATAAAGACCAAATATCCATATATATAAAAAATTACAAATCACATTATCACTTTAGTTGTTCTCAAGTTATGGACCCCCCACCCCTTCCTACACCCAGCAGCATCAGGAAGAGATTAAACATCATCCACCTGGGAATGTTAGTGTGTGACTGAGGGGTTCCCAGAGCTCCCCAAACTTAAGGGTGGATGTTCTAAAAGGCGTCCAGTTATTAATGCACACAGGAAAAGCAGATTCATAGTGTGATAGGTGCTTAATAGAAGTGGTTTGCAGAGAGGATATTCCTATTAAGTGTGCCAATAAAACCCCCAAATTTCCCAGCCCCTCGTGGGCAAATGCCTAGTCAAAAAGAGTTGTCCTGAAGCAGGGCCGCTGAGGCCTGAAAGCTCACCACAAGTCTAAGGTACCTTATCCTGGGGAGTTCTGAAGACAGTCCCAAAGAACTCGGACAGAAGGAGGCATCACATCAAGGTAATGGCTGCCATTATCAGCCTCCCCTCGTGTCTCTTCCAAGTGTCTCTGCATGTTTCTCCTCTAAAAGTCTCCTTCAAATGGCAAAAGCTCCTAGGTGCAAGTTAAAGTCAGAGCCCAAAGAACTTCTGTGTTATAAAGCTTCACCTGGCCACTGAGCTCCACCCCTAGTTCCCATTAGCTAGACCAAGGCAGCTGCATATAAGTGAGGGAGAAGAAAATGGCACCTCCCTTAACAAGAACTTGTAAGCAAAGCAAATAATTAGCCCCACGCCAGGCCTACTGAATCAGAGCCTTTAGGATAGCCTCTTGGTTTTACAATCGCTCCAGGTGACTCTAATCCACAGTGAAGTTGAGAACCACTGAGCTAGAGAAGCCAGGATTAAAAGTTGAAATGTGTTTTTTGATGAGGGCAATTAGCTTGGAAGAGTCATAAAGTACCTTCTTACTAGCTTTACTGTTCCAGAATGAACACAGCAGGGTATAATTTTTTTAACCTTTCTTTTTTTTTAGTATTTTATTTTATATAATTCTTACATCATTTTTCATTTATGAACAATGTATGCATTTTCATTTTCGTTATATTCCCCATACAGTTGCACCCCCCCTTATTTTGACCCTAATTCTTCCTCTCCCAGGCCCTCCCCCTCCCGTAGCGTGTCGCAGAGTATAAATTTTTATACTCTTCAACATACTGTAAAATTTTCTGGGAGTGACACCTCCCTGCTCTAACAGACAAAAGAGCAAAACCATCTGCATACACTTGGAAATTCATAATACAGCCAAGCAAAATCTACTGCCTGCAGATAAAATGAGCCTTTTCAACCCCTTCTAATGACCAAGAAACTGGGCAAAGATTTAAACAATGGATACCGAATCTTTGCATTTTCACAGTGCATTCTTTAGAAAGGAAGAGATGAAACCCCAACACTGCTTCTCTCTCTGTGCACTCAGCCTCAGCATGTCTTTAGAGCAAAACAACTTAGAACTGGAAACCCCCGGTCAAGAATAATTACATTTTTAATGTCAATGACTCATTGTTCCTACCTATATAAGCTAAATTCAAACTTGTAATTGTTGGAACAGTTCTCACAGAGTAAAATGTTGGATTGCTTACTGAGTTCCAATCCTTACTCTGATTAGCTACTAAACTTTGTATTAACTGATGGATGCTTAGAGCAGAAAACTTGGATTTTTTCACAAGGTCAAAAACTAGAGGAGGGAGCAGAAAGGATTATCTGTTTAGAAAACCAAACCAATCCAACCCCAAAGCAACAAAATCCACAAAGTAATTCTACCAAAGAACAGTATTTAAGGACTCCTCTTATTTTGAAAAAAAAAAAAAACAACAAGCAAAAAAAGGAACAAAAAAACCACAGCTCTTTGCCCATTCGTGTCTATGCAAATATCTTCTTCCCTTGATAAACTTGCCTTGTGCTGCTGTATGGTACACTCTGCCGAATTCATTCTCAGAGGGACCCAATAATCCTGCATACCAAACCCTAACATAACTATCACCAACAATTTTATTCTAGGTAAACAGCAAAAACAGCTATACAGCAAAAACAAACCAAAAACGCAGTAGCAACCTAACAATAACAGGCTAACCAGTTTTATTCCTCAAGGTGAATTCTACTAATATGCTAAGGCACAAATGCAACAACTTCAAAACATGAATGAGCTAACCATGTTTAATTCACTTGTCCTTTTGGATTCAATTATGGGCCAGCAGATTCTTGGGAGAAATCTCAACACATTTACTCCTGCTTTTGGGCAAAGGCTCCAGAACCAGATGAAACCTGATGGCTGCACAGATGCAAATGCTAGAAAACTGACCCAGAAGTGACAGAGGTCTCATTAGCACGCTAAATAACACACCTCTGAGTGGGGACTTAAATGCTAATGAGACACGTGTCATGAAGACACAGGAAGCCTGTCTACGCATGTCCCAGCACAGTGCAGTCTAACACATGCTATGACACTACTCCTTGATATCCGCCCTAGTAACCATCACTATAAAACCAGGACCCTCAGCTCCCTCAAGTTGAGAGTGCAGCTCATGGCATTTGCTTCCTCTACTATTGTATGATCCACAATAAAAGCTCCTTGCTTGAAATTCATTATTGGTTTTCCAAATTTGTAGGGAATTAACTGGTCAAAGCCAGAGAAAGATCCTTTGGAATTAGTGACAACTGTTGTTAACTCCTAGAAAAGACATTCTCCTGACATTGGGGAATCCTAACTTTTCAATGCACATGCAGGGTAAGGTAAAAAGTATCAGGCTTTTCTGCCCTCCCACCACTAGGATAGATGACAGAACCCTGTGGTCCCGAATGCATGCCTGATGGCAGGCACCTGGAATAGGGTATGGGTATATGTAGATGGGATTCACATGGGCTGAGACTAGGCTTTCAGGGGCAGCGTCGCGGGGACGCCAGCAAAAGCCGAGAGAAACAGAAAGAAGCAGAGCAGAGAGAAGCAGAGAAGGAGAAGCAGAACTATGAGAGAAGGCCAGAGAGCCCAGACAGAGTGAAGACTTGCTAGGGGCTGGGAGGCCTGCTAGCCTCCCGGCCCCCCAGCACCCATGCCTGCTGTGTACCTGGTAAATCCCAATAAAAGCCTGAAAACCCACCAAAGGCTCCAGGACTGCTTCTTTACCCGGACTGCTGGATCAGAAAACCTGCCCTGTATCATTCCTGCCCCTACAGTATATGATAGAGATTTGTGATAAAAGGTATATTTAACTAGTAAAATAAAATGCTAGATTTCATCAGTAATCTAATTGTCAAAAAACTGCCAGCACCCTAATCACAAGCCTCACCTTCTATCTTTCTTTTAATAGATTATTCACTTACATTGTTGTTCATTTTTGTACAATATTTGATTACTCCCCTCAGATGTAGCCCCCATAGTTTTCCTACCACCTTAGCACCTGTGACCACCACCACAGTCCCTTGTGCTCTTCCCTCTCCTGTTTTGACCCCTCTCCTTTTCACTTCCCCTCCCTCCTTACCATCTCTCTTTCTAAGGATTAGCTTTCTGCTTTGTGCAAAATGCTTTCACCTCCAAATATCCATTTTTTTTCCACTTACCTATCAGCATCCTTGGGTACATCAATTAACATTTCCTCCACCTTTTGGATCAGGAGGTACTTAAGGGCAGAGTAATAACTTACTTTTGCATTCCTGACACTTAGCATGATACCCAAGCAGATGTTGTTGAATGAATAAATAAAAACCGTAAGAATATAAGGAAAGTTAAGAATATTCTCTTGGGGCTTACCAGAGCAAAAGGAAAAAGGGAAGTTCATACCTTTTGACTTTTAATTTGCTCTACTACAACCATCACAGAGGGAAAAAGGAGCTGGAACTGCAAAGTAGAGGATAATTAGTAGGGTATATAGGCAAATACAAAGAAAAAGAATTAACTCAGAAGATCCTTTTATTTCTAAATAGTCCAACTTAAGATAAAGATGGCAGTACCACAAAATAGCCAAGATCCAGTCGCCTAAGGTAATTTGATAAGGGGTGGTAGACAGAAGGCGTTTCTATTTTTGAGGCAGGAATAATTATTTAAATATTGACTTTAATATATAGCATGAACATCAGACATTAAGTTTTAAGTAATACATAAAACACTGGGCTCTGAATCTAGAAGGAATAGCGTTCTCAAAAATAATGTAATAAATTAGATTATTTTAACACCAACAGATTCCAAGGAATTTTGTTAGTTGGGCAGCATACCTGATCTAAGGAGTAATTGACATGTGATATGGTGAGATGGGGATCAGCCAGAAACTGCAACAAAAAACATGATGGTTAGGGGTCTATATGCAGTATCTCAGATCTAGCTGATCTATGAAAACTAGAGAGAAGAAAAAAAAATCAAAACAAACACCCAAAAAACCTAGAAGAGAATCTGAGAATGGGCTTAGTGTTAATTTTAGACTATAGAAAATTGAGTCTCCTTTTTAAAAAAAGATTTATTTTTGTTTATATGTGTAAGAACTGGGGTGTAGGCCAGAGATGCAGGGGGTAAGAGGATTCATCAGAGATAGACTGCAGAGCAGAATAGGTGAATCTACTGAAACACACTGCTGAGGGGAGCAGCAGGCAAGACAGAAGAGGTCTGCTGTGCCATGTGGGTCAGCTCCCTGGTGGGGTATCGAACTCAGGCTGTAGTGGCTGGCAATAGCTTGACAGCACTAAGACTTTAACCCCTGTACCACCAGGGAGGCTCAGAGAATTATTCTTTATAGAAAATTATTAATTCTGATTTCTAGGTCACAGAATCAAAAATAAGGCTCTTATAAACTTACTTAGGAACGTCCACCATGATCTGTAGGACACTTTGATCATGGCTTGGAGAATCACAGAGTAGTGCACCCTCTAGTCATGCCATATCAAGGGCATTTCAAATTCAAGAATGTGCCCTAACCTGCTGTCCCAAAGGTGTTTTGGTTTTTTAAGCATATCCTGTGTTTCTTACCTCTTGTTCCAAATCAAGCAATGCTTGGCGATAAGGCTGCAAAACTGAATCCAGCCCTGTGCAGAAGGCCCGTAGGTAGATTCCATGTAACCCCCCTTGACCCTGCTGAGATGGATGGTGATCCTGAAATCAAAAAGAAGTCAACTTAGCTTAGGCCCTGAAATCCAAGGAAGACATGATCCTTTATAAATGGCATTGTTAAAATAGTCAATATTGAAGAAAGTGAAAGGAAGACCTAACTAAACAGACTGAGTTCTTTTTAAAATGTCATAAAATTTTTAAATTTCCAAATGGCCACATTTATAGCAACCAGGTAGTACCCTGTACTCTCAGTGGAGATTTTTCTACAACTCAATTCCAACCTTATAACTTCTAGTTTAAATCCATTTGGTGTTTCCTAGTGCCCCAAAATAATTTCTAAACTTCTCTATATGACATAGAATTGTTACAGATATACCTCCACGAAGGGAAAGTGCCATTTTCCTCACTCCCACTTAGCCACTTTGGATTACAAGTTCATTCATGATTACAAGCATGCCATGAACTAGCCTTCCCCAGCAGGGGAAATGCTGGGAACCTGGGGTGAAGTTAAACGGTCAGGCTTGGTTTATAACTTAACACACGAGGGCTCAGGCCTCTTGCTTCTCTGGCTCTTGCCCATGCTTCTGCATCCCAACTTGTACCCTGCTACTGCTTGAAACTTGGAGGAGATATGTGGAAGAGACACATGTGGGAAGGCTGCTGCCAGTCCTTGGCAAAGTCAATGACAGCTGTTGTCCTGACTTCAGGGTGGGTTACTTGGTACATTTTGAATTCTGAATCTCTCTAGCCCCAGCTCTCTGAGACCTGCCTAACCCCTTTCTTGTGGTTTCCTGACAGAAGGTACCTTAGACTTGTGGCAAGAGTTCAGGCCCCAGTGGCCCTGCTTCCGGCTGACCCTGTCTGATTGGGCATTTGCCCATGAGGGGATGGGTAATTTGGGAGCATTTATTGGGAAACTATTACTGGGAATATATTTACTTCTCTCTTTATGCACACTAATTCTGTTCAAGATCTTGAACACTGTGCGTGTAAAGGCTTCCTTTGTCTTTGTGTGGTGAATGCCTAGAACTCTTTTAGAGTGGGCAACCCAGAGTTTGGGTCCCTGGGTACCTCTCGTTCACATGCTAACACAATGACTTCTGCATTCTGTCCCTTACCCATCTTTCCAATAATTATCTTCCACTGTTTCTAACTTCACATTCCAAACTACCCACAATTCACCAAGTGTGTTCTGACTATATTTCTCCTCCCTGCCTTAGGAATTTAGATGTGTTCTGCTTCCAATTGAGTACTCAGCTTTGCGATGAAGACCTATTCTTCCTGAAGGACTCAACTCAAGCATTTCTTCAATCTAAATTCCTTCCTATTTCTCCCTATGTAATTAATAATTCCACCTTTGTTGCCTTTATAGCATCTCTTTTAGTGCTGGAATTGTTTTTTGTTTATATGCACCCTCACTAGACCAAGAGCTTCATGAATTGAGGGTCCACACTCAATTTGTATTTCAGCTCCTGGTACAGTTCTTTGAATAAAGGGTAAATATTTACTAAATAAAATGACCTCAATCCTTCTAACATCCCTTCTGCCTGACATGGTAATTCATGAAGAACATGAACATGATAGTTAAAATTGGAAGTTTTGAGAACTTCCTAAGGAACTATTTATAAACATGGTTTGGCTTTCAGGAAATCTAAATTTTTTTTTATAAGAGCCTCTTCAGTAGTTTTTTTTTTTTTAAAAGATTTATTTATTTATACAAACACTGGGTACAGTCAGAAGTGCGGGAGGGTGAGAGAATTCACCAGAGCCAGAGCGGGGAGCAGAGCAGGCAGAGGTACACTGCTGAGGGGAGCAGTGGGCACAGCGGGAGAGGTCTGCGAGCCATGGGGCCCTCGCCGGCAGCTGGGGATCAAACCGGCGCAGCAGAGGCTGTAGGCAGCTTTGCAGCCCAGCGCTCAACTGCTGTGCCACCAGGGGAGACCCCTGACCCCCCCCCCTTCAGTAGTTTTATAAAGGGAATTGTGGTTAACAGTTGGCTGGAAGGCACAACTCTCGATTGAGGTAATCAGGTTCTGGTGGTGGCAAATACAGTAACACAATTCAACAAGGAATGCTGTAGGAAACTGAGCTCAGAGGTTATAAGGCACCATGTACCAGAGGATACTGCAAAGGATACTAGTAGCGCCTTAGGATAAATGTTCACAGCTGTAACCAGAACAGCAGAGGCACGGGGTGAAGTGGGCTAGATTGGCTTACAATCAGTCAATTTTGTTTTGATCTTGTGTCATTCCTAAGAACTCAGTGTCTTCATTGACCACAAAATGAGAGAGAAAATGAGTCTCCTTTTTGCTTTAAAAAAGGTAATATAGATATTATTGGAATCTGGGAAAGTGCAGGAGAGCAGCTTTTTTCCTCTGCCCTTTTAGGTTTTGGCTGAGATGCCCCCTGTAATAAAGGATAGATTAACAAGAGAAAAATTATTTTGTATATATGAGAGCCCCACAAAGATATGAGACTCTCCAAGAGTCAGGTAAATGAGGCTTAATATGATTTGAGTTAGGAGAAGGGGATAGGCACCTGGAATTTTAAAGGGGAAGAAGATAATTTATAGGAAGACAGGAGAAGCAAATGTTTGCCATGCCAGGCAGAGACAAAGGGACACAGAGAGGACAATGAGGAAACACACCTTGAGAAGTTCCCTCCAATTTGCTACTCTTAGTTCAGACTTGTAATATCTCTGGGAATAACTCTCTTCCTGCTACAGGCCCTCTATCTAAATTCTTTTAGGCAGTTAAGGGGGAGGTAAAAAGAAAACTTCCTCATTTCTTCTGTTTCTTAAAAAAAATCAGCCTAAAATTATCTTCAGGCCAGGGAAATATTTTGGGGCAGCAAATACTGCTCCCCTGCAGTAAAAATTCATATATAATTGTAGGGTTAAATGATTGCCAGGCTTTTCTGCCCTCCCGCCATTAGGATTAATAATGGATTTCAGTGGTCCTGAAAGTATGCCTGATAGCGGACACCTGGAGTGGGGTGTGGGCCTACATAGGTGGGTACACCTAAGCTGAGACTGGGCTCACAAGGACGGCCTCACGGGGATGCCAGGGGAACAGACCAGAAGGAGAGAGTACCAGAAGAGAACAAGCAAAAGAGCGGAATCGAACAAGAAGAGACAGAACAAGACCACGCAAGAATGCCAGAGAGCTCAGGAAGAGTGAAGACAGCCTCCAGGACCCCCGGCACTCCTGCCTGCCATGTACCTGGTAACCTCAATAAAAGCCTCTAAAAGCCACCGAGGGCTCCAAGACTCCTTCACCTGTCTGCTCGGATCATAGAGATCATGCTCTATGCCTTCCTGCCCTTACAATATTAGATAAAACCTATAGTCACACAAACACTGTACAAGTTTTTTTATTTAAGTGTTAATACAAGAAATTAAAGCTATCGGCCTTTTAAATCTATATTAATATATATATGTGGGTTCCAACTTTGATAATTAAGCGTTCCTTCATAGCAAATTGTCATTGATAAAATTTTATTTTTTAAAGATTGATTTATTTATGCATACAAGAGCTGGGGTGCAGGCCAGAGGTAGGAGGGTGACAGGATTCACCAGATACAGAGCGGGGAGCAGATCAGGCAGATGCAATGAAATACACTGCTGAAGGGAGCAGTGGGCGAGACAGGAGAGGCCTGCTGTGTCATGTGGCTCACCTCCCAGGCCGGCCGGGGAATCGAACTCATGCTGCAGTGGCTGTGACAGCTTGACAGCACTGTCTTTAACACCTGCGCCACCAGGGAGGCCTTTGATTAAATTTTAAACCCATGTTTATCTTGTTTATTGTCTCTGCAATCAAATCAGTTTTAGAGAACCAGAATCCCAGGTCCAGAGATAAAAACATCAGGCTTTATTCGCCAACTCCTTTGCTGCATAGATTATACCAAAGGCCAATTTATATAACAGGGACTAGAAGGTATCAACTGCTTTGTTTCAGTCAAGCATCCTTTGTAGAAGTCCCCACCTTCCTGCTCTACTAAAATCAGTCTTTAACAGGGAAATAAAATCATGTGTTGCTTAACTATGGGAATATATTCTAAGAGATGCATCACCAGACAATTTCATTACTGTGCGAATATCATAGTGCATAATACACAAGTCTAGGTGGCATAGACCACTGAACACCTAGACTACATGGTATAGTCTGTGTGGTCTATGGTTGACCAAAAGGTAATTAAGAGATGCCTGACTGTAGGCATCACTGAAGGAGAGTTCATAATTCACCATTCTTTTTACTTACACTGACAGAACTATAGCCTGTTAAAAGTAAGAGAATTTTAAATTTCTTTTTAAAAGAATCTGAGTACTTACTATGTACAGGGTACTTTACATGAATCATCTTGTTTAAGGATTATAATCATATGAGAGTGGTACCATCTATTATCCCCATTTTGTAGGTAAGGTAACTGAGTCTTAGATTACTGAGAATTAAGTTACTATGAAGGAGTATAAGTTACAGGATCATTGACTTCTACACAATTACAACAAAATAGTGTTTATTTCCAATTAATTCATATTAATGTATGATATGTATTACTGTGTGTCAAGTACATTCTCTGGTTTAACTCATTTATTTACAAATAAGAAAAATGAAGTCCAAAGATTTTAGTGCTTACCTTAATGTTATTAAGGTAGTTAGAAGCAGAATGTAAAATAATGCTTTATGTTTTCACCGCTGAAACTCTGCTCCAGCTCAAATTAATTTAATTCAGCTCTCCTAAAACTCAGTATGTTTTCTCAAATATATTTTCTCTTATACCAATCTGTCTAAATTGGTTTCTGTGTATATTTCCCCATATTTAAGGTTACCTGTTTTTAACTTAAATAATTCCAGTAATGAAAAATTCGTAACTTCTTGAGAGTTATTTCATATGAATTACTAATGACTCCACTGAAAGTCAGAAGTCTGACCCTCTGGAGAGATGCATCGCTGAGAACAGGAACCTACCTGTTGCTGCACATGTCCTGTGTACTGTTCAATGAACTCAGTGAAGCGAATATAGTCTGTGCCAAGCCGGCAGAGTCTATTCAGGACACTGGTTTCACTGGGATGGAGAAATGGAAAGTCCTGTGACACCTGCAGGAAGAACAATGCTAGAGACACTGATGCCTGCTATTCACTGCAGGTAGGTCTCTGAAATGCTTCAAATGCATCCTACCACATTTTGTATTCCTCTGTAGATGGACACTTGGGTTGCTTCTGGCTACTGTGAATAATGCTCTGAGCATAGGTGTCAAATATCTGTTCGAGTTTATGCTTTATAAACTTTTTTTTTTTTAAAACAACTCTTTTTTTTTTAAAAGATTTATCTATTTATACAAGCACTGGGTACAGTCAGAAGCACGGGAGGGTGAGAGAATTCACCAGAGCCAGAGCGGGGAGCAGAGCAGGCAGAGGGACCGAAGTACACTGCTGAGGGGAGCAGCGGGCGGCAGGAGAGGTCTGCGCACCATGTGGGACCCTCCTCCGGTGGCCTGGGAGCAGCCGGGGATCGAACCGGTGCTGCAGAGGCTGCGGGCAGCTTCGCAACCCAGCGCTCAACCGCTGCGCCACCGGGGAGGCCCTTATATTCTTTTGAGTGTATAACCAAAAGTGAAATTGCTGGATAATTTTTTTTAAAGATTTATTTATGCATACAAGAACTGGGGTACAGGCCAGAGATGTGGGGGGTGAAGGGATTCACCAATGACAGAGTGGGGAACAGAACAGGCAAATTGACTGAAATAAACTGCTGAGGGGAGCAGCAGGTGATCAGGAGAGGTCTGCTGTGCCATGTGCGTAGCTCTCTGGCTAGGGATCTAACTTGCTGCAGTGGCTGTGGACAGCTTCATAGGTTGTGTCTTAACCCCTTGCATCACCAGGGAGGCCCCGAAATTGCTGGATAATTAAAAAAAAATAATAACTACCCTAATGGACATGAAGTAGTATCTCACTGTGTTTTTGATTTGTATTTTCCTAATGATTAGTGATGTCATCTTTTCATTTGTTTACAGGCTACTATATATATTCCTTGAAGAATCAACTAACTTTAATAAACGCTTATTTACCAGGCACTGTGCTAACATTCTGAGAGAAAATAGTGACCAAAAAGAGACAGAGTCACTACTCCCAAGGAACTTTGCATATTACATACTCTTATTGTGAGTACTCTATTTTGTGGATGTCATCTTTATATGACATTATATATGCTAATAAATAGAAAAAGAAGAATTTTTCTACTACTGAGTCCACACTAATTTGATTAGGAATTCATGTAATGTAGATTTCAATAACATTCAACCCTCACCTATCATCAAGTTAATATCTGAAGTGGTAACATAGTGCTTAAGAACCTGGTCTTTGATGCCAGATTGCCTGGGTCTGAATCCCTGAGTTGTTCTCTACTTGCTTGAAACCTTTTGCAAATTATAATACTTCTCTGAATCTCAGTTTTCACATCAATAAAGTAGAAATAATCATTGTGAAGATTAAATAACAGATGTAAAGCACATGTGCCAGGCACATAGTACTCAATACAAGAAATACAAGCGCTTAGGAGAAGATAAACTGTTGGAACTATATATAGGTTTTGTAGACTAAGATGTAATTTTATTCTGCTCTTTCACAGCCCTTAGTGTCAACTGTCCCAGGAATACTCATGACCCCATTTCCAGACAATGCTAACTGCAAAATTTGACCTTATGAGGGCTAGACACCACAAAGTTCTCTAAGATTGTTTGCTTATTGCAAACTGAGGCTAATAATACCTAAGTTACTAAGTTATTCAGAGTATTAGATAACGTTACTTGAAACAGAGTAGAAAAAAAGTAGTTCAAACATTGGAAGCAGTTCAAAACCAATTTCGCTAATTACTAGCTAAGTGGTGCAGGGAGTTATTTCACATTTTAAGTCTAGGTTCATCTGTAAAATGGGGACAGATGGTTGTGAAAATTAAATGAGAAGGGCCTTCCTGATGGCACAGGGGGTTAAGATGCAACACTATGGAGCTATCTGCAGCACTGAGTTCTATCCCCGGCTCGCCAGGGAGCTACCCACACGGCGCAGCAGACCTCTCCTGACTCGCCCGCTGCTCCCCTCAGCAGTGTGTTTCAGTCAGTCTGCCTGTTCTATTCCTCACTCTGTCTCTGGTGTATCCTCTCCCCCACCTTCCCGCATCTCTAGCCTGTACCCCAGCTCTTGTATGCATAAATAAATCTTTAAAAAAAATTAAATGAGAAAATGCACACAATAAAGCCCTTGCTCCTCATACACTCCTGGTTCCATGAAGGCCCCTTTGCAAATTCTCCTAATGCAGAAATCTCCCAGGAAAGGCATAAACAAGCCTCTCATTCATTTTTATTCAGCAAAGCTGAATGAAATTTTAGGGTTATGCAGAAAGACTGTGAGGACGCCTCTCACATTAGCCCTCAAAGCTAAGTTAAAAAACAGTGCAAGCGTGAAAATGAGAGAACCGGCCTGTCTCACTTTTCTCTCCAGAGCTTCAGCAACTCTCGCTCAGACGCCTCAGGTCAGGCCGGCTGCGGGCTCCCTTCTGCTCGCGGGCCTCAGAACCTCCGGGTCGGCCACAGCCTGGGCCCGCGGCTCTCTTAGGGTTCACAAGACGCTTGGGGGTGTCGCTCGGCCACCGCCCCCCAGTCACCAGCCCGGTCCCCGCGCGCCCCACCCCCTCGCGCCCCAGCTCTGGGGCCCCGGCTCAGGTCCGCCGCTCCCGCGCCCGCTAGTTCCCGGCCGGGCCGGGCGGTACCTGGAGGCCGCTCCGCTTGTTCCAGGTGAAGATGGACCCCGGGTACCCGCTCAGCGCCAGGAGCAGCTCGTGGATCATCCCCACGGCGGACCCCGCGTCCTCAGCCCCGCCGCCCCCTCCCCCAGCGCCTCAGCGGGCGACCACCGCGGCCGCAGCTCCCGCCCGACGCGCGCGCCGGCTCCGGGGTCGGGCGGCCAGTTCGGAAAGCGCGCGCGGCGGCGACGGCGGCGGGGGCCGCGGACGGGAAGCGGGAAGGGGTCGCGCGGCGCGCCCCGGAAGTGTGCGGCGCCCGGCCGGGCCCACCCGCCGGCTCCCGCCGCGCTCGGGACGAGGAGTCGCCGCCGCCGCTTCGCGCATGCGCCCTCGGTGCCCAAGTCGCACGCTCGGACTTCCGGTTTGGGAGCGGGCCTGGGAGTCTGGGGATCCCGGGCCGGGGCCGGACCCCGAGTGGGTGAGGCTGGCCCGGGGCAGAGGTGCGAGTGGCCGAGGGACAGGCCTAGAGGGCGACACCCCAAGGGTTGGGCAGGAGGGCGCCCTCTGGGCCCCTTAGCCCAGCCGGAGGCCTGTGGACGGGCTGCAGGGCGGCTCGGAGAGTGACCTGGCCGGAGGGAGCGAAGACAAAGAGGCCGGAACTCCGCGCCCGCCGCCGCCGGCGGTGAGCTCCCGCCCGCGCAGCCGCCCCGCTCGGCGCTCCGGGGCCGCCTCCGCGCGGCCTCGGGGGTCTCTGCACTGCCGCCCCCTGGGACTCCCTCGCCACCCGCTCCGTGTGATGCTCCCCAAGCCCACCTGGCCTCGTTTCTGGAGCCAAAACCCACTTGTCCCCATGCCAGAGCTGTCCCTTCATGGTTCCCGAGGATTTGCCGAGCGGCTGCTTCTGTTGTGCGGGAAACAAAGACCCAAGATCCAGTGCTTGCTTTTTGCTTGGGGAGGGACTGGGTAGTTGTGGAGTCCGAGGGGGCGGGCGGACCTAGAGGGCCTCGGAAAGGACCGCGGCGGGACGGAGGGAGATCAGCTGCGACCCGCTGGACAGAGGCGTGTGTGGCCTCCCGCAGGATGGTGACTTGCCTGTAGATACTCGCCAGCCCCAGGTCTCTCGTGGTTCGAAGTCTTCATGCAACATCGGGCAGCAGAGCTATATGGGTTCAGATTTGTGGGAGGTGGAAAAGCAGCAGACAGTACTTTATATTCGCTGCTGCCCCCGGGGCCAGTAGTGGAAGTCGCCCAGAAATGCAGCTTTTGAAAGGTCTCCTTCGTGCTCAGGAGTGGTTTGCTGTTCTGAAGTTGGTACTACCTCGGATGGCCACTTGGAGCACTTGGGAAGGCAGGCCGGCTCGGGCAAGACTAAATGTATAAGCATAGCCCTTCTGATAGTGCCATCTCTCTCTACCCTAGGAGGAAACTTCTTACAGAGACTCATCTGCAAGGACACGGGAAGCTAGGTGTAAACTCTGGAACCCAGACCCTTAAGTGGAGGGGAGCGGCCTTCTACTGTGGATGATGGCCAAACCCACCCTGAAAGGGAATGGCGCTAATTCCGAGACCTTCCGACAGCGCTTCAGGAGATTTCATTACCAAGAGGGAGCTGGACCCCGAGAGGCCTTCAGCCAACTGTGGGAACTTTGCTGTCGGTGGTTAAGGCCCGAAGTGCGCACCAAGGAGCAGATTGTAGAAGTGTTGGTGCTAGAGCAGTTCCTGACCATCTTACCTTGCGAGATCAAGAACTGGGTACAGGAGCAATGTCCAGAAAGTGGAGAGGAGGCAGTGGCTCTGGTGGAAGATTTAGAAAGAGAACCTGGAAGACCTGAACGTTCGGTGAGAAGGGAGAGGGGATTCAGAAGTGTGTGACCGGGAAGGGGCAAGGACAAAGGGCCAAATTAAGGTATAGACAGGATTATAGAGGGGCACAGTCTCCCTTGGTGAAGCTTATATTTCTGCTGCTGGGACAGGTAACTTGTTCAGAGAGAGCTGGAGATGCCCCCTGAGTTTCCCTTTGCTACCCTGTCATAACGAGTTTTTGATAGTTGCGTATTTTAACTTAATAGGGAAGGAAGTGGGATTATTTTTCACCTTGTATTGGGTTTACTATTTTGATCTTTTCCTTTTGCAGTTCCAGCTGCTCTAAACTAACAGTAATGGAATAAGAGAGACACTTATTTGTAATAATCCCTTCCCTCCCCCAACCCTAGCCATGTCCCAGAAGGATGTTCTCTCGGGGTATTAAATAATCTCCTCTGGGAATGCCCCTCATTACGACCTTGCAGTGACCATTAATGGGGGTTGTTTCTAGGTTACAGTCTCTGTGAAGGGGCAGGAAGTGCGCTTGGAGAAGATGACACCCCTGAAATCATCACGAGAGTTATTAAGTGTTCGGCAGGAGTCAGTGGAACCCCAGCGCAGGGTTCCACCCAAGAAAGAGAGGGCAAGAAGCCCAGACCTGGGACCACAGGAGCAGATGAACCCAAAGGAGAAGCTCAGACCTTTTCAAAGGAGCGGTGAGGAGTAGATTCCTATGGGAAGATAGGATGCCATTCTCAGTTGGGAAGTAGGGTTGGGAATAGTGAGTGGGAAGGGATTTTAGGAGTGAGTGGAACTTGTAGACTGGTTGTTGGGGACCTCTTGAAGGCATGTAGTTTACTGTTTTGATTTAAGTCTACCAGAGGATGGCTCCCTAGCTTTTATCAGACCTTGGAACTATTTTATTTCTTCTCGGTAATGATAGTACGTCTCTATACTTTCTAGATAAAAATTCTTCTCTACACTTGAGGGTAAAATTGAACTGTTTCTTTAAGCTTTTTCCCAGAAGCTCCCTTCTTCAGACCCAAGTTTTTGTTAGTTTCCCTTGGAACCTTTAAGAGCTCTAAGTATCGTGTTATTTTATTCCAGTGAGGGTCTAGTAAGTAGAGGCAGAGTAAGAATTTTACTTCAGAATTTCACTACATCTTCTGCCAGTATAGCTCCACTATTTGATGATTATTGTTCATCTGGTAGCTCCCAGGACTCTAAGATTTCCCCATTGTCTTTGTGCCTGGTGCTTATTCTCGTACTTGATTTTGTAGAACTTGTTTTTCTTCTTTGTACTCTGTTGAAGTCCATTTTGTATGTTTTTTTCTTGGATCATTACTTTGTGTGTGTATGTGTGTGATCAGAACTTCTAAGATCTACTCTTAGCAGTTTCCATATATGTAATACAGTATTATTAGCTATAGTCACTATGCAGTATTACCTCCCTATTACTTAGTTATTATGTAATAGAAAGTTTGTATCTTTTGATTCCCTTCTCAGCCATTTTGGTAATGGCCTCTATTTAGTCTTCCAGATGCCATCCCTTTAACACACATACTTAAGGAAGTATTGTTTTTGAGCACCTACCTTGTGTACATACCCTGCAGAAGACTATTCTGTAATAAGTTGCCTGTCCTTGAAGAGATCACAAAGTGAGACTGTAATAGCAAATTATAAATATGTGCTAAACTGACCTGTATTTAAACAGTGTCAAACAATGACTTGTTAAAACTCAATTGTGTGAGTACAGTAGGGTTTTGTCAGAATGGGAGATGAAGAAGGGTTATAGGGAAGGTTACCTGGGAGAAATGAAAAATATAGCTTCTTGAAGGATGGGTTAAATTTGGATGGGAGAGAGAGAGTTAAAGGAAAGTCAGAGGTCAGAGAGTGGTAAATAAAGGTGTGCTGTGTTCTGGAGAGTCTAACATGAAAGGACAGTGCCTGGTAAGCACTCACATGAAGCATCAGCAATACAGAATGTGTGCTGAGGATGTGAGCCTGGAGTTAGGGAGGATAGTGACTGCTGCAGTTACCTGGATGTGAGAGGATAAGGAATCTGGATTTGCATGTTGGCAGTAGGAATGGAGTTGGACACAATAAGGGGAAAAACTTTAGAACTTGCTGTGTAAAGAAATCCAATGAGCTGAAGACAATCCCACTCCTCACACCCCAAAATCACTCTTGAGTTTAATTCTCTAACCCTAGGTGGAGAACACAGGAGACAGGAAGTGACTATTCCCAGCAGTGCCGGGATCTGCCTATAATTGGTCAGGACGACTAGGGAACAACTTGGAACAGAAGCATCTGCTCTGACCACATAATAGAACCCTTTCCTCTCTTGCCACCCTACTCTAGAAAAGAAAATACTTGTTTTCTTGAGGTTTCACGTAATTCTCTCTTCCTTCCATCCATTGAACTTTCTGAAAACATGTAGAAAGTTTCTTTATAAGCCTCTTGGATAAAAAAGAAGGTAGGTCTGAACGCAAAGATATTTTGTGATCAGTCCAAACTATGATGTCCTTTGTTTGCTTTCCTGCAAGCAGGATTTCCATATCCTAAATCCGGTGTGGTCTCCAGGTTGGAGCAAGGACAGCCATGGATTCCAGATCTGGGCTCCAAGGAGAAGGAACTCCCAAGCAGCAGTCACATAGGAGATAAACGAATGCATGGTGATCTATTATCTAGGAGAGAGAGAAGAAGCTGGGTGGAACAGGAGCAATGGGGCTTTGAGGATGAGAAGGTGGCAGGTGTGCACTGGGGCTATGAAGAGACTAGAACTCTCCTTGCAATTCTCAGTCAGACTGAGTTTTATGAGGCGCTCCGAAACTGTCATAGAAACAGCCAAGTGTATGGGGCTGTGGCTGAGCGGCTCCGGGAATATGGCTTTCTCCGGACCCTGGAACAGTGTCGGACCAAGTTCAAAGGTCTCCAGAAGAGCTATCGAAAAGTCAAGAGTGGACACCCACCTGAGACCTGCCCCTTCTTTGAAGAGATGGAAGCTCTGATGAGTGCTCAGGTCATTGCCCTGCCCAGTAATGGCCTGGAAGAGGGAGCCTCTCACTCTGGCCTGGTGGGCAGAGATGCTGAGTCTGAGGAGCCAGGGCGAGGGGGCTGGGAGCATGAGGAGGGAACAGAAGAGGCTGTAGCTGAGGGGTCTGACAGTGATGAAATGGACCAGGAGGCCACCCCCCGAGACCCCGATAAATCAACTGCACCTGTCCTTTTCCGAAGCCCAAGTGGTAAGCAGCTTTTCTTCTAGGGGTTTTGGGATTACACTTGAGAAGTAATGATACTTGATGTGGAGTATGGCTTAATTTCACCTGCCTGCTTTGTTACTTGAAAAAAATTACACAGTGGGCCTTCCTGGTGGTGCAAGGGGTTAAGTCTCAGCACTATTAAGCTATCTGTGGCCACTGTAGCACCAGTTCCATCCCTGGCCAGGAAGCAACCTACATGGCGCAGCAGACCTCTCCTGTCTTGCCCGCTGCTCCCCTCAGCAGTGTATTTCAGGCAGTCTGCCTGTTCTGCTCCCCACTCTGTCTCTGGTGAATCCTCTAACCCCCGCACCTCTGCCCTACACCCCAGCTCTTGTATGCATAAATAAATCAATCTTTAAAAAAATAAACAGAAAATTTAGAAGTCCTCGAAAAGAATATCATTCCTGTTCTTTAACATTTTTTCTTGATTATAAAATCATGGCAGGTTCACTGAGAAACCTGACAGTGCATTATCTTTTACTCCCCCAAATCAAAGTCAGTTTACTATGTATTCCTTTTAATTTAGTATGGTGAAAGATGTTCCAAAGTTCGGAAAACAAGTCTCTTCTTTGATGTTCGCAACATACATTGGCATTTTAACTGAAAAGCCCTGCAGCCAGAAAGCTTAATACTCTGTTAAAACATATGCCTGTAGAACTGGTTTCTAAGTATCATTTATTACTGTTGACATAACCTACATAACCATTTTGTTATAGAAAGAACACCAGTCAGGAGGCTTTGATTCTAATTCGATGACCACTAACCAGCTGGGTGACCTTAGACAGTTATCTACCATTCCAAAGTGTTTCATCAGCTGTAAAACGGGGCATGGCAGCAGGACTCCATCTCTATACAACTGCAGTTTCACTGTCAACAGTGGTCATTTTTTATTGTATGTGTAATGGTTACTTTAGTTCTGTTCTAGTCTTCCTATCTTCTACTTTTTACTTTTTCTTTCTTGTTCATTCTTTTCCCTTTTTTGTCATTGGAATAACTATGTAAATTACAACATGGCACGTGTTCTAGCTGCTTTTTCATTATCTTTGTTCTTGTTTTTTCTTTTCCCCCTGCTTTCTGATTCTTTCCCCTTCTCCTTTACTCACAGTGAGGAAGATAATGGAGGCCAGCTGGCTCTCAACTGGGAGGAAAACTTCCCTCTAGCTTGGGTACCTTCAGGGAGCAGGTTCCCAGGTGTCTATAATCATTCTGATGAAATATCGCCCAAATGTGGTGAGAGGGGGCCAGGGAACTACACCACTAGCATGAATTCAGGCTAGGAGATGCTGTCTGAGGAAACTGGCTTCTGCCAGTCCTCTCCTAAGGATTAGGTGCATGACTGTCAGTTCTTTCTTGTACTCTCAGGCCTTGCTCTTTTGAGGTTGTGACAGGTGAAGAAGGACCATTATGGGGATAAGGCAGCTGTATGATTCTAAAAGAGGCTGTTCCTTGGGGTTTTGGGTCATTTTTTGGTAAACTTAGTTGATAAGGAAGTAGATCTATTGGAAAAAGAATGCTTAGAGAAGTTAGGGATAACTCGTAACTAAATAGCAATTAATTTTGGATCCCTTACCCTGACCAGTTATTTACTAAATTCTGGAATTTACAGAATTCCAGAAAAAAACTAGGAGGGTGGGGAAATTCTGTATACTTACTTGTCTCAGTGTATGTAATGATTATTTCAGTGATAAGGTAGAAAGGCCTTTTTTTTTTTTAAATATGGCTAAACATAATACAGAAAGGTATCAATAAAGTTGCTATAAGCTGTAGAGAAGCAAGACATTCTCTAATATTATATATATAGACTGATTATAATGCACAAATTTTGGTACCCCAGTTCTTGTATGCATAAATAAATCTTTAAAATATGCATAAATTTTGGAAACATGAAGGTATTTTTACTTTTTGATCTAGAAACACAAGCTTAGGTGATTTTCCATGATGCAGATGGTAGGACATAAGAATTGAGGCTCTAAAGCCCTGGATTAAGTGATATTGAAATTTCTCTTCTGGTGGCAGGTGTACACTGGGGCTATGAGGAGACCAAGACTTACCTTGCAATTCTTAGTGAGACTCAGTTTTATGAAGCCCTCCGGAACTGTCACCGCAACAGCCAGCTATATGGAGCAGTGGCTGAGCGGTTATGGGAATATGGCTTCCTTAGGACACCAGAGCAGTGTCGGACCAAGTTTAAAAGCCTACAGACTAGTTATCGGAAAGTCAAGAATGGCCAAGCACCAGAAACCTGTCCCTTCTTTGAAGAGATGGATGCTTTGGTGAGTGCCCGGGCAGCTGCCCCGCCAAATGATGGTCAGCAAGAGAAAGTTTCTTGCCCCATTCAAACCAGTGAGGCTGAAGCTGAGATGCAAGCAGAGGAGGCAGAGGAAGCCACAGAAGAGTCTGATGATGAAGAAGAGGATACTGAGGTACCCCCAGGGACTGTCATGACCCGGGCTCCAGTCTTATTCCAGAGCCCCCGTGGTAAGATCCTTTTACTCTTAAAGTCTAAATAGCAAGGGAGACACAGTGGAATATATGAGAAAAACCAACAGATTGAAACCCAGGAGAACAGGCCTTTATACCAGCTCTCATGTGTTCTTACTTTGACTACCTTACCTCTTCCTCATGTTTCCTGTCTTTCAAAGCAATGAGGTAACATAAATGATCCATGTGCTTTGCCTCTTCACACCATGACATCAATCTGAGATGGCTGCAAACTTTGTAAATTTGCTAACTACACATGAGCTACTAGATTTCCAGGCATTTTCCTAGCAGAGATTCTAAAAGCTAACATTTCCCAAGTAGTGTGTTATATACTCATAGGATGAATTAGATTTCAAAGTTCATTTTATTTCAAAAGTTCATTTTATTTGTTTTTTCTTCCATTTTCAGCTTGTGCGCTTGTTTTACCCACATATATGAAAACCAGATAGTGTTTCACTTTAGACATACTTTCTTGCAAGTCTGAACTTTCTGAAGGAATTGACCCTTTGAACCTTAGCTGCTATTTAAGGGAAAAAAAAAAAATTTCACTATGGCTTCCTTCCTGTGAGAAGAATTCTAATTTTGGAGTCATACATGTATGTGAACCGAGCTTTGCTGTTTATTAGCAGAATGACTTAGAGTAAGTCATTTAACCTTATAAATTTGCTTATATAGTAAGACCTACCTCACAAGGTTGATGTAAGTGATATACCATAGTGAAGCAGCTAACACAACGCCTGGGCACATAGTAAGTATTCAATAAATAAGTCTTCTTTTCTAAAATTTCTTTAAATAGGCATTCTTCAAGGGTGTTCTTAAATATTAATATTTTCCAGTGGAAAATGGCTTCTGGGTTTCAGCAAATGCTAAATACATATTGAAAGCTCACAATATATATTCGCCTATTTAAGGTTCTGTTTTATGGGCTATCATAAGACTGGGCTCTGGGTAGAAATACTATTTTAGGGAGTACATAAATAGGCCGATATGCTTGCATTCTTTTGTATTCATAGTCTAGGGGTCTGGGATCCAGAGTTTATCTGAAACATCTAGAAATTCCGCAAATTCAAAATGAAAATTTACAAGCATCTGCACATTCTCATAGTCTAGACCCAGGGGAACCCAGCATTTGGTTCTTAGAAGAGTGTTAAAAGCTTAGGTTGGGCATAGAGTATGCTTTTGGAACATTTAGTGATTATTTTTCCTTAAGCAAAGAGAAAATTTGAGAAACTTTCTAGCAAAGTTTATCTCTCAGAATGCCTTTTGTACTTTGAAACACTCATATTTTTATTCTCAGTATTTATTGTTATTTGTTTTTTTTTTTTTTAATTTTCTAGAGGCATGTCTTATTTATTTATCTATTTGTTTGGTTTATACATGCACTGGGTACAGTCAGAAGCCGGGAGGGTGAGAGAATTCACCAGAGCCAGAGTGGGGAGCAGAACAGGTAGAAGGACCGAAGTACACTGCTGAGGGGAGCAGCGGGCGGCAGGAGAGGTCTGCGCGCCATGTGGGACCCTCCTCCAGTGGCCGGGGAGCAGCCGGGGATCGAACCTGCGCCGCAGAGGCCGCGGGCAGCTTCGCAACCCAGCGCTCAACCGCTGCGCCACCTGGGAGGCCCTATTTATTGTTATTTGAAGAGGAGGCTCATATTGTTCTTTTTGGCTATAGAAAATTCCCCAAAGGTTTTTCTGAGTATTCTCTTCTAATCCACTTAGTTATTAGTAAAGAACATAAACTAAAATACCATGACAGGCCCAAAGTGAGGCAGAAATACAGCATTGTAGAGTGCTTTTCCTGTACAAACATGGTGATGGTTTTATCTTAAATCCAGTTTTTCACTATATTGAGAGGATTTTCTGAATATCATGGGCATCCAGTAAAAGTTAACAGACTATATTAATTAGCCCCTATGTAGATGAGGAGCATGTGATATGCTACCAAGTAGAGAAGTATAACACTGGAATTTTAATAGATGGTAGTTATTTGGGATCTAGAGCTCCTTACTTTTTATTTTTAATCATCTAATGTGGTAATTGTTTTACCCTGGTACATATAATTGAGGAAATGGATAACTTTTAAAATTTTATTTTCATATCAGGTTTTGAGGCTGGATTTGAGAATGAAAAGAATCTAAAACGGGATATTTCTGAAGAAGTACAGCTGCATAGGACATTACTTGCAAGGTCTGAAAGGAAAATTCCCCGCCATTTTAATCAGGGTAAAGGCAGTGAGAGTGAATGTAGATCAGGAAGACAGTGGGAAAAGACCCCAGGAGAAAGAAGAGGAAAACCAACACTCCCAGAGAGGAGTTTAGGTAAAGTTCTAAATCATCAGAGACCCTATTTAGGAGAGAGACCCTATAAATATCTCAGATACGGCAAAAGCTTTGGTCCAAACTCCCACCTCATGCATCAGATATCCCATCAAGTGGAAAATCCATATAAATGTGCTGACTGTGGGAAAAGCTTCAGTCGGAGTGCACGTCTCATTAGACATCGGAGAATACACACTGGAGAGAAACCTTATAAGTGTCTTGACTGTGGAAAAAGTTTCCGTGACAGCTCAAATTTCATTACCCACAGGAGGATCCATACAGGAGAGAAACCTTATCAGTGTGGTGAGTGTGGAAAACGCTTCAATCAGAGCTCAAGTCTTATAATTCACCAGAGAACCCACACAGGAGAAAAGCCCTATCAGTGTGAAGAGTGTGGAAAAAGCTTCAATAACAGTTCTCATTTTAGTGCACATCGGAGGATACACACAGGAGAGAGACCCCATGTGTGTCCTGACTGTGGAAAGAGTTTCAGTAAGAGTTCTGACTTACGTGCACATCACAGAACCCACACAGGAGAGAAACCTTATAGGTGTCATGACTGTGGCAAGTGCTTCAGTAAAAGTTCTGTTCTTAATAAGCACCGAGAAATCCATACACGAGAGAAGCTTCTGTCACAGTCGGCACCTTAATAAGCCCCTGAGGCTCTAAAAGAAAGAGCCTCAATAAATGTGTTGTTTGGAAAGTCTTCCAATAGTGAGATCCAGCTCCTATTCTATGTTCGATTAGCTTAGGAAATACTCTTTAGGGTTTACCTCACTGGCTGTGCCTGTTTCTCCTGGATCTCCCATGGCAGTCATTTTAAGAATGAAGGGATGATTTCAGTCCCTCTCCTTGCCGGCATATGAATTGACAAATAACACTTTTTCCTCTCAGCACCTATGTTGATCCCTTAATCCAGGAGAGAGGACAGAGTAGTAGATTCAATGAGTTTAATGTAATAGCCTTCCTTACTTATCCTGTTACTCAATTACATTTTGACTTGAAAACCCCATCACAGCAGCATTTCAGGGAGAAGTGAGACTTTTCTCACTGAGTGGGCTTAGCTCTTTATATAATACGGAAATACAAAAAAGAATGACTCTTCCTGTTCATTTAAGCCTCTACTCAGAATAACATTTGTCAAATACTCTCTTCATGTACTATAGGAGAGTTTATGTTGATCTTGGTTCTGACCTATGAATTATCTTGTCAAGAACCTAGGTGTTCTATGTAGGGAAACAATGTATACCTTATATACATACTGAGGTGTAAACCCTGGATTTCTTTATTTTTTTCCAAGCCCTAAAAGATTGGGAATAGAGCAATAGTACATTTATAGCATTTAGTTTTGATTTTTTTCCCCATCCCATCTGAAGTTTATCTGTCCCTTGTGATCTAGAAGCCTAGAGAATAAGCTAGCTGGACTTGGTGATAGGGAAAGCAGTTAAAGCTGCTAGTAGGGAATCCACACACTCCAAACACCTGGTCTATTATGATGCACCCCATAGGCACTCAGTAATAACCCACAATGAGCAGAAGCCACTTTCATATTCCCATTGATTGGGAAAACAACACTTTGTGCCAACAACTCTTTACCCTAAAGACAAGGACAGATTATCTAGTCGGTAGAACTGCCAGTACTCACAAATGTACATGCACATATTCAACTATAAAATCTATTTTACAAGCTACCCTTCAAACACAAATTTAATTCTGAACTTTATAATCAGATAGTACTTAATTATTGTCTTTATATTCACATGAGTATGATAAGTCCTGTAGAGCACAAGTTAAAAAAACCTCATTCTTGTCCTTAACAATCTCAAATGGAAGAAACTGACATGGACAAACAGTAGGTGCTCATGTATAGTCACAACAGTTTCAGAGAAATCTACAAAGCTAGGTAGTAACACTGCATAAATGTTAAGGTATAATGCCATAGAGTTTAATGTAAGAAAAATCTGGGAGTTATTTTCTTCTCTTGATTTAGGAAGGGTTCATGTAGCAGGAAGTGTTTAGCAGGCTGTTACTGGGTAACGGGGCATAAGCTTTCCAAAACTGAATGCAGAATGGGTGAGAAATGAAAAAAATTGTGGCGCAAGGTGTTTTGTGTAGATGGAGAAGAGGGCAAAGGATGGACTGGAAGGAAGGTAAGACAAAGCTTGCAGCATCATAAAACTGAAAGAATAGTGTGATATGGGCTGTGCAGAAGGGAGTGAGAAAAATTACCTTAGCTGAAACATGGAGTGCCGGGGCAGATCAGGAGGTTGTGCTCCCATCATATACAGTAAATTGACATTGTGCTATACTTGATAAAGAAACATCTGGCTGGCACTTAGGAAGACGAATGAGCAGTTTTAGGGGACTAACTCCTATGAGAGCCAAAGGTCAGAAACTAGTATCTTGTAAAGGTACTTTGACGGCAGGTCAGAGGAAAGGTGAACCGTGAGCAGAAAGCCAAGTCCTGGGATATGTGGCTGTTCATATTCTTATTTAGAATTGTGTGACTGGCATGAGACCTGGGAGAGAAGTGGGAAGATAGAATATTCTATAATTCATAGCATACTGTGTTAAATAAAATATTACGGTTGTGGTGTTGAGGGATCCTACCTAGTACAAAGAATCTCCTTACATGTAGTAGGAATTAAGGGGGAAATGGTATTTCAATTATATTGACTAAGCAGACAGAATAAGAAATACCAGTCTAAAGCAATGTCTCAGAATCTGAGATGGTTTAGGAAGTGTGCTATAATTTAAAAAAAAAAAATAGATGACTATCTTCAGTATATCTATGTAGTCTTGGAGAAAGCATTGGTTAGGTTATCAACACCATGCATACTGATTTCCAGATGTCTTGTGTATAAGTCAACCTGCTTCCATTTCCCTTTCTGTAAAGCAGATTTATGTTTACACCTTAATCTGCCTCTCAGGGATACCATTTAATAAAAATTATGTCTATAAAGAGTCCATTGTTTCTAGTTTTTTTTTTAATATGTATGTGCAAATTATGATTAAGGTGCCACTGGTAGGGAAAGAAAAATCTTTACCTGCTTTTCTTGGCTCCCTTTGTGGGTTAATAGATGTATGCTTGTTTCGATCTTTATTTTCTAGGCAGAAAGCAAATTGGAATGTGGTAAAAGAGAGAATGAAAATTCTTCCTTTATATCCATATCAATTTATAACAATCCATTAGGACCCATTATAACTGGACATGGAGAATGAGTCTTATTTTAAAAGAACCAGGGTCAAATCACTTAAGAAGAATTCAGTTTAAAAATATTTTGACATGGGCCTCCCCGGTGGCGCAGCAGTTGAGCACTGGGTTGCGAAGCTGCCCGCAGCCTCTGCAGCGCCGGTTAGATCCCCGGCTGCTCCCCGGCCACCAGAGGAGGGTCCCACATGGCGTGCAGACCTCTCCTGCCGCCCGCTGCTCCCCTCAGCAGTGTCTTCGGTCCTTCTGCCTGCTCTGCTCCCCACTCTGGCTCTGGTAAATTCTCTCACCCTCCCGTGCTTCTGATTGTACCCAGTGCTTGTATAAATAAATAAATAAACAAACAAACAAACAAACAAATAAATAAATCTTAAAAAAAAATATTTTGACACCTTTGCTAGAAGAACATTCACTTCCATTCTAGAGACTAAGATCTATATCCCTATGACTCATACTGTAAGTCACCAACCACCTGAATAATTTTTAGACCACACAAATTCTCATTGCTCAACGATGGCACTGAGAGTTTCTAAGTGAGGAGGCAACATTAAAGGGATAGGACCAAGTTCTACTGAGTTTAGTAGTCTTGATATGCAACTAATGTGTGCAAAATGAAGCTGCATTCCATGTCATTTGCACACCTTGCCTCTGGCCTCATTTGATATATAGGTAAGATACAAGCTATGTATGCACTTGGAAACAGAAAGCAAAAGTAGCAGCTGCAGTGGTGACCAGGTAAGTATAAGATGGTGATTTAAAGACAAAAGTGGGATGTGGGTTACCTGGTATTATTGGTAGAAGGAATCTAGGCTTAGTTTCAAAGGGCCTGTTCTTTGCTGTGAGTCTCTCCAACTACCTCCTTAGGTCTCATTTGTGACTTTATCTTGATACTTTTTTCTTTTAAAGATTTATTTTTATTTATACAAGCGCTGGGGTACGGGCTAGAGGCGTGGGAGGATGAGAGAATTCACCAGAGACAAAGTGGGGAGCAGAACAGGCAGAAGGACTGAAGGCACTGCTGAGGGGAGCAGTGGGCGAGACAGGAGCGGTCTGCTGAGTCATGTGGGAATCTCCCTGGCCAGTGGGGAATCGAACCTGCACTTCAGAGGCTGCGGATAGCTTCACAGTGCAGCGCTCAACCCTCCGTGCTACCGGAGAGGCCTGATACTTTTTTTTTTTTTTTAAAAGATTTATTTTATTCATGCATACAAGAACTGAGGTACAGGCCAGAGGTGTGGGGGGTGAGAGGATTCACTAGAGTGGGGAACAGAACAGGCAGACTGAAATACACTGCTGAGGGGAGCAGCGGGTGAGACAGGAGACGTCTGCTGCTCCATGTGGGTAGCTCCCTGGCTGGGATTGAACTCATGCTGCAGTGGCTGTGGGTAGCTTCATAGTGCTGTGTCTTAACCCCTTGAGCCACCAGGAAGGCCCCCTTTTCTCTATTATTTGACAGTGCTGTAGTTTTTCATAAATGCTCTCTACCAGCCAATTTATATATATTTTAAATTCTAGAACCTCAAATAGAAACATTTATGCCCTTACGCTGCCTCACTTAAGACTAGCTACTTAGATCCTTTTCCAGTTCATAAGCATGATGATTGGGTGTTCACACGGCTGTGTGAGATGTGCCTCCCTTAAACCTTGTTACGACGTCGGCACATTACCCTTCTGACGTGAGGGAAAAAAAAAAAAAGACTAGCTACTTAAGATTAAAATAACTTTTATACTATGAACAGAACATGATAAAGTTAACAAATTAAAATTACTCATCCCATTAGCTTTTATATACACATACACATATATATTAAACAAAAATGGATTATAAAATTGTTTATAACTACATTTTTCATTCACAATGAACACTTTCGTGGCACTAAAGTTTTAGTGCCTATAAAATACTGACATTTTATGGATAAACCATAATTTTTCACTATGCAATGTCTGTATGGTTGGATAGGTATAGAATATGCTATTCAAGGTTATAAACATATCCAAGGTGCCTTCCTGGTGGAGCAAAGGGTTAAGCACAGCACTATGAAGCTATCCTCAGCCTCTGCAGCAGTTCGATCCCCAGCTGGCCAGGGAGCTACCCACATGGCACAGCAGACCTCTCCTGTCTCTCCCGCTGCTCCCCTCAGCAGTGTATTTCAGTTAGTTTGCCTGTCCTGTCCCCCATTCTGTCTCTGGTGAATCCTCTCACCTTCCCACACCTCTGGCCTGTACCCCAGTTCTTATATGCATAAATAAATAAATCTTTTTTTAAAAAAGATTCAAACATGTCTAAGAACCTCAGAAACCTAAGGGCTTCCTTCTACCCTGTTCCATAAAAGACAAAGTTTATTAGACACCTTTAGTAATTAAAATTAAGGGTATCATCAGCTTTAACTTCCTGTAGTACTGGGGAAAAATACATTTAAGGAACAAAACTATTCAAGCATACCTTGATATCAAATTCATTTTTTAACAGTTTGGGGAATATTTACTTGAAGCAAGTATGAATAAGGGGAACACAACAAAACACAGAGATTTTTGTCACTAGAAGCTGGAAGGTATGAAGATCTTGGTGGCAATCTGTTTTGCCATCATTCCTCACTTTATTTGGGTTAGTAATTCTAAAACTTTTCTCAGTGAGAAAATGACTGGTTTTTCTCAATCAATGGGAGGGAACTGTTAAGTCTAAATCACTGGTGGAAGAAGAGTTTAGTCTGCAGCAACATTTCAGTCCCTTCTAGTAAGCACCATGGAGGTAATAAGCTATGCAACCCATCAGAGCCTGCTAATTAGTTCAACACATTTACTGGGCATCTGTCATGAGTAAGGAGCCCATGGTACCTGCCTACTAGGCTTCAAAGGGAGCGATGGACGTTTTATTAATAAAGTGGAGTATGGCAGGAAGATCTTGGTTGCAATACATACTTGAAAGAGATTAAAAATGTAACACTTTGGGCTTCAGATGATTCCACTTTTTCTTCAGCTCAGACCTGGTGCAGTCAGAAGCAAAAATGTAGTCGATGGATTCGTAAGACAGATTCCACACTTGTGACTGGGTCAAATGAAATGTTTCAGCTGCCAGCTGGTACTCTTGAGAAAGGTTTGTTGCAAAAACACCCTTATCATCCGTCTGCCAATATAAGTAAGAAAATTTCAAAATTAACAAGGAAATTATTTTTAAAAACAACTTTTTGTTTGGAATCTATTTTCCTATTTAGTTGCTTCTAAGTAGGGACCTATAAATATCTCCAATAATGTCTATAACTAAACAGACTTGTTTCTCCTTTAAAAAGCAAAACAGCAGAGCAGTAGCTCCTGAACCGTGGCTGCATATTAAAATTCCCTAAGAAGCTCTGAAAACACATCCATGCCCAGGACACTCCGTAGATGAAATAAAGCAGATTGTCAAGGGATGTATGCTGAGCAAGAATTTTTTTTTCTAATACCTCCAGGTACTGTCTAGAACCTTTTCCCACAAAGCCAAACCATAGTCACTCTGGCCCTTTGCTGTCTCTCATGTTCCAATTCTTTTCCACTCCTCTGGGACGTTACCTTCAGGTCTGCAAGGCAGTCAGCTATGTAATGAATATTTGACCTAATGCAACTCGGGGATGAAAAAGAAGCAAAATACTTCGCACTTACACAGATCACAGAAGGATGGCCAATGCTGTACCAGAATCCAAAATGATGCTGGTCATAAGACCAAACTGTCTGACTTTTGATGTTTGAGGTCAAACAGAGTTCTAGATGAGAGAAGGAAAAAAGTCTTTTATTAAAAGTAGGTAAGTGGGGGCCTCTCTGGTGGCACAGGAGTTAAAGTTTCAGCACTATCAAGCTACCGCCAGCCACTGAGGCCTGAGTTTGATCTCAGCCAGAGAGCTAATCCACATGGCGCAGCAGATCTCTCCTGTCTCACGGCTGTTCCCCTCAGCAGTGTATTTCAGTAGATCCGCCTGTTTGCTCCTCACTCTGTCTCTGGTGAATCCTCTCACGGCCCACACCTCTGGCCCACACCCCAGTTCTTCTATGTATAAATAAAAATAAATCTTTAAAAAAAGTAGATAAGTGAACTCCTGTAGTGTACACCAAGTGTACACATAAGAAATCTTTCCAGACTATGCTAATTTGCATTAGTTCATTATTTGACAAAAATGGACCTTTTCTTTGTGTGAAATGTTATAGTTCAATCAGTGTAGTTATACAGGAAATAGGAAATAAGTGCTACAACTTAATGGCAACTACTGTATCAGGCAAAGAATATACCCTTCAGGGCCATGTGTTTCTTACTTTACCAAAATGAAAAGGAAAGAGCAGTATTATAAACTAGTCACCACAAAAAAAGGCAGGGGAACAGAAGGAATTCTTAAAAAGTTACTTCCTGATCTTATGGTAGAGTCTAAAATAAAGATAGGAAAATGGCTTGAAAGTTATAGCATTGGAAAGTGCCAAGAGCAGAAATGAACTTTTTCCATGGCTTCAAAGGAAATTCCTTACTCAAACAACCACCCATTCACTGCCTATTGCAGATTAGGTCCACCCGAAGGATGATTTACACTATAAGCAAATTCTTGCTTTGAAACACCATGTCGGGCTCCCTGGCCAGAACACTTCATTGCTCACTTAGGTAGGGCAGCCTCAACACAAGGCCACTCAGTCCAAAGGAAGGCAAACCCAACCAGTTCCCACATTCTGCTTGGAGCAGAGCCAACAGCCACACCAAGTAAGGTCACTATGCAAATGTTTACTATTGTCTCCATTTCTATGGATGCTTAAAAATTCCCTTAGTAAAAAAGAAATCTCACCCATTATAAACTACTCAACACTCTTATAGTTAAAAAACACACAACACAATTATTTTTTTCAAAATGGTAAATCCATACATTCAGCAAATTGATCATTCAGTAAAAAAGTTTTCAGTCAACTGATTTTTTTCCTTTCAGAAAGTCGTTCCCTGACTATCCAATCAGAAGGGGGTAAAGTGGTTATCTCAATATAAGGCTGTTCAATTTTCTTCAAAGAATTTAATGTGGATATTTTCTTGTTTACTTATTTACTGTCTCTCTTAACCTATGCTAGAACGTAAGTTCATTGAGAAAGAAACCTTGTCTGTTTTATTTATTTACTGCTCTACTTCCAGCAATTTGAGCAGTGACTAGAACAAAGTAGGTATGTCATAAATACTTGATGTGAAATAAAAACAGCTTCAGTATACACAAGTATACAAATAAGTGCATAATGGCCAACAGACATAAAATATCTTGAAATTTTCCATAATTCTTAATTTTTAAATAAATGCTATATATTTTCATAACACAGGTTAATTTGGTCAAAGTCATTTCACCAGCTGGCCCTTATTTTTTTAATGTAATATTTTCTGAGTCTCAGGAAGGGGGTAATTTAACAGAGAATGAGACAACTATGGCTCTGCTCTCATGGAGCTTATATAGTAATGGAAGCTAAAACTATGTTACATAAGTGAGGTTAAATTATATTTATATTTTCAAAATGATATTTATATTTTTAGAACAGCACTTCTCTATAGACAGGTTGCAAGCTGGGGGTGGAAGAAGTTAGGAATGGAGGGTTGTCTGGAGGACCTGAAGTGCTGCTCAGCCTTCCTTACCCAGTGGTATCCGGTGTTGCCTCACAAAGTTGACCAGATCCAGGGATCCTCCCTTAGCAGAGTTCAGAAATGTCCCATGCCCGATTCTGTCAGGAAGAAGATCCAGGAGTACTTGCGTTTCTTTTGTTTGGTTTGGAATCTCAAAAAGAGGGGAGAGGAGATCAATAATCTCTTTCAGGGATTATATTCTCTCTCTCTCTTTCTCTCTTTATATATATATATATATATTTGCTTTTCTATAAAGCCAGATATCTTGTCCCTCAAGAAGTTAATGCAGACAGTCTGGAAAGCTAAAGTACTCACACCTCCCAGTTCTCTTCTTTGCCTTTTCCCATTCTTTTCACAACGTTCTCCAAGAATCACTTCAATGGTACAGACGCAATAATAATAACAATAAAAAATTATTAAAGACCTACTTTGTGCCTTTTCACATAAATTCCCCTTTAAGTCTTTCAGGAATCTTACAAAGTATTGAGATTAATAAATTAAAGCTCAGAAAAAATTAATTTTCAATATCAAAATTCCACAACACTCTATGTCTTAGTGTGTTCTATGTTGTACATGTCATCTATGTGTTCATATAAATTAGAAGGCCTGCAAGAATATAAACACAAAACTGTTAATAGTATTAACTCTGGGCAGCAGTACTGAAATTGGAAGGACCTTTCATTTTTCCCTTCTACATTGTAATTCTCTATACTTGGGTTTTCTTCAGATACATATACCTTTTGTAATTAAAAATATAAAGCATGAAAAAAATAGTTGTCCAAGGTCACAGAACTTGTAAATGGTATTGCTAAGGTCCCATCTGACTCTAAGGTCCAGACTCTCCATACAATGTGCTCATGTTTTTTGACAAGGCTAGTTAAAATCATATCACAACAGGGGCCTCCCCGGTGGCGCAGCGGTGGAGCACTGGGTTGCGAAGCTGCCCGCAGCCTCTGCAGCGCCAGTTCGATCCCCGGCCACCGGGCAAGAGTCCCACATGGTGCGCAGACCTCTCCTGCCGCCCGCTGCTACCCTCAGCAGTGTACTTCGGTCCTGCCTGTTCTACTCCCTGCTCTGGCTCTGGTGAATTCTCTCACCCTCCCGCGCTTCTGACTGTACCCAGTGTTTGTATAAATAAATAAATAAACCTTTAAAAAAATATATATCACAACCACCATGAAAATGTTTAGCTTTGCTATTTATCTCCTAGATAGTCTAAAAGACAAGTGAACATAACATGTCGAAATATTTTCTATTTAATGGCTCAAACAAGAAAAGCAACAGATGCAAAGGTTCTGATATTGTGTATGAAGACCAGAAGTAACTGGTCAGAGCAGCACAGGTCAGCTGTTCCATTATACTAAGCAATGGTTTCAATCAGGTATCAGGTCAGCTACAGGAGGACCTATGAATACAGATCTTTTTGATCAGTGTAGAAACATGGAATCTAGATTAAAGATTTTGCATTAAATTAATGACCCTCTGCTTGAACACATGAAAAATACCAGTACTGACAAGAAGCTCCAATTTTCCCCTTAATCATTAGATCATAATGGTCAACTTCTATATATCACCCTATTTAACACCCACAACAACCCCACTAGGTAAGTATACTAAGGACCATGTCCTGCGTTCAAGAAACAAATCCAAATCCATCATGTTATATTCATTCATGCTTAGCTTTTCTGTATGTCAAAAAAAAGAAAAAAAAAAAAAGAAAGAAAGAAAGAACAGAAACAAGTAGAAGCACTGCAGCAGAAAGTATATCCATATGAAGTGTGGATAAGAGTAGTAGAGTCCCTTGTTTGCTTCACGGGATGTGCTTAAGAAACTGTTCTCCATCCAGTCTGTACACTATCTGCCACTGTGCTTCCAAGGAGTTGGGGGCTGATGAGGGGCACCTGGTTTCCCTGGTGAATTTTATTAAAATGATGGTGAGCTACTTCCTTTTTTAGTGCACAGGATATATTGGATCCTCCCAGTAGGCAAGGAAATTCTTTTCTACAAGTGAAAAGAACTGGTACTTTTTGCAAGACAAGGTGGATGATGGAAATTCTTGCATGTTCTCTAGCAAGATGTCATTGCAAGTCATCAGCCACCCCCAGGAAGCATAAAAACAGAAATATAAGGGACTAAAGCAAGTTATATATTTATCATTATAATTTACATTTTAAAATATTTCTACTTTCCCCTTCTAAAAGCGCTCCTCCAAACCAGGTTTACTTTTAGACACTTACAAATGAGCCTATTTTTTCCATTATAATCTACTCTTTCCAGCCTAATTTTACAATGTTAGTTACCTCTGAAAGATGCAATGCCAACTTCAGACCTGCTTTTTTAGCTTCCAAAAGAGGTTCCAAGAAATCTTTTGCTTCTCCTGCCTTGAAAACAAGTTAAAATGAGGATTATGAGAATTCTGGGCAAACTGAGAAATCAGGTATGTCCCAATGAAAAAAAGAATAAAACAATGGCAAAAAAGGTAGACTGATTCATTCTCACATTTTGTTTATAAAATACCTACAATGTGCTGAACACTTTGGGGAATACAAAGCTGGTAAAGACACAGTCTTTACCCTCAAGAATCTTGTTGTGCTCTTTTATCCTGGCTTTCAACATGCTATGCAGACTGGAGAAGAGAGGGAAACTTTGGGGCCACATGAGCCACAGCCACATTGGTAAGAAGAGGAAACACCCCAGGATCTATGCCATCTATGATGGCACCTGGGGACAGAATTGACTTTGACAAATATCACCGGGTTACTCTGGGAAAGCTGGTAAGGGACATTACCCACTTGAAGAGGAACCAGAGCTTCTGCCCTGGTGTCAACCTTCATAGACTGTGGACCTTGGTCAGTGAGCAGACGCAGGTAAATACCCCCCCCAAATAAGACTGAAGCTGCTCCAGTCATTGGTATGGTATGTCTCGGCTACTGCCGAGTTCTAGGGAAGGGAAAGCTCCCCAAGCAGCCTGTGATGGTGAAGGCCAAATTCTTCAGTAGAAAAGCTAAGAGGGCCTCTCTGGTGGCCTAGGAGTTAAGTCTCAGCGCTATCACTGCTATGGCCTGAATTCAATCCCTGGCCAGAGAGCTAATCCACATATGGTACAGCAGACCTCTCCTGTCTCACCCGCTGCTCCCCTCAGCAATGTATTTCAGTAAATCCACCTATTCTGCTCCCAACTCTGTTTTTGATGAATCCTCTTATCCCCCATGCCCGACCCAGCCAGCACCTCTGGCCTATACCCAGTGCTACACAAAATTAAAAAAAAAAAAAAAAAGAAAAGAAAGAAAAAAAAAACTGAAGAAAATATTAAGGGTGTGTGTGGGGGGGGGTTGTGGAGGGAGGGACTGTGTCCTGTTGGCTTGAAGTCATAAGGAGGAAAGTTCATTAAGTGCTACAAGTGCTTTTCAAAAAAAAAAAAAATCATTTTGTTAATTATCTGTGAACCTTACCTGTAAATCGGCTAAGCTATATATATAGGAATTGCCAAGTTCTATTTCTACAAAGGAAACTAGTACTGAAAAAGAGAACTCACCTGATTTACTAAAGAAAGTTTCTATCAACGGCAATACACTTCAGGTCTAGACAAAGTCAGAAGAATAAATTTCAAAGGACTCTAACGCAATAGTTTTCAACCAGGCCATTACAATTAGAGGGTGCTACTGGCATCTAGTGGGAGAGGTAAAGGATACTGCTGAACGTTCTACCATGCACAGGACAATTCCCAAGATGAAGAACTGGACCAAAAAACAGTGCTATGGTTGAGACACCCTGCTTGAATCTGACATTCAAGAAGCTATAAGCTAGTCTTTTCAACTATGGTTGAATGAGATAATTAAGCCCAGCCATAACCAAGAATAAGCTTTAGATATCCATTGTATGAAATTAATTTGCTCTTATGTATGTAGAATAGTATTAGTTATGTGCCATCTTTAGAGGAATGGAGAAAATAAACATATTGTTATGAAAATATTTTTTCTTTTCTTTTTTAAGGAGGTTTAATTCTCTCACAGAACCCTGGCTGAGAACAAATGCTACAGACATTCTGGTCGTCCAGGAGAGACGATGTTATCATCCAGTCTCTTGATAATGGTGAATGCAACAAATTAAGCTTAATCCCTCAAGCTGTTTCTACCTTTTAGAAACAAAATGTATTAAGGAAAAAAACTTACAGTTGGGTTACCGCTGAGGTCAACACCAAGAACTATATCCTCAGTTGAAAGAAAAAACTCTTCAGCAAGTTTAACAGTCTCCTTGGCTACTGAAGGGCCACCTTTTCTGTCAATTGCTACCAAATACCTTTAATGTAAGAAAAACACAGTTGAAAATTATCTTACAGATGAAAAAGACAACACTGTGTGAGACCAGAGGGGCATGGCAGTCTCTATTGTACACATCTTACTAAAAGAAGAATAGCTTGACAAGATCGATGATGGATATTCATGCATCTTACTTTACCAGAGGGAATGAGATAAATTCCTAAAAAGCATCAATTATCTAGACGGTGTTCAAACTTTTAATTGTCACATGTTTTTGTTCTTGTATTTTTATTTTTACAGTTTGATTCAGGATCTAAATGTGTTGGTGAATGAAACTCGAGTCTCTTTTAATCTGTAGTCACTCCTTCCACCCCCTGCCTCTTTTCTTGCAAATCATTTGCTGATGAAACTAGGTTATTTGTCCTATAAAATTTATAAGAGTCTGGAATCCTTACACTGCTCACATGTCTTCTGTCTCTTATATTTTCTATAAATTGGTAACTATCTAGTTTAGAGGCTTAATCAGATTGATTCAATATTTTGGCAGGAGTACTTCATAGGTGGTGCTCTCATGAGGAGGCTTACATTCATTATTCCAATAGGGGTTACAAAATTGGTAACATTCTAACATATATCTAGTAACTGATACAAATTCACTCACATATTTGTTGGAATTCTATAAATAATTTAATATGTGAAGAATTCCTATTAATACTGTGTAATTAAGATGTTTCCCCAGCATATATTTTCGAAATTGAAATTAACATATAAAATGCAATGTCTTTTATTTTCACTTAATTTACACTGCCATAAGAGCTAGAAAACAAATCATATGTACTGTTTATTTGTACAGAAAGAGCAAGGAACAGAACAGGCAGATCGACCAAAGCACACTGCTGAAGGGAGCAGCGGGCGAGTCAGTATTTGTCATTACCCTCTGACTGCTGGGCACTTTAGGATGTTTTCTACTTTTTGTTATAACAGTATAATGGAAGAAAAAGCGAGAGTGACCCCCAGACTGACCACATCTGTTTCATCTCCATGCCCAGTGCCTACATTCTGCCACTGTAGCCACCATGCCCAAGAGAAAGGCTGAAAGGGACACTAAAGGACTTAAAGCCAAGGTGAAGGACAAACCAGAGAAATTATGTATTGGGTCTCTCTGGGACCTGGATGTTTACAAACCTCAAAAGGCTCCACAGATAGCACTTTCCTTTCTACATCTCAGAAGGGCCCTTATTTTACATTTTTTTAAAGATTTATTTATTTATGCATACAAGAGCTGGGGTATAGGCCAGAGGTGGCTGGGGGTGGGTTGGTGAAAGGATTCACCAGAGACAGAGTGGGGAGCAGAACAGGCAGACTGACTGAAATACACTGCTGAGGGGAGCAGTGGGCAGACAGGAGAGGTCTGCTGCACAATGTTGGTCAGTTCCCTGGCCAGAATCGAACTCGTGCTGCAGAAGAGCCTACAGATAGCTTCACAGTGCTGAGACTTAACCCCTTGAGCCAACAGGGAGGCCCGGGAATTTTTTTTTTTAAATAAATCTTGATACTTAGTGTTATTTAAAGAGCTTTTAATGGGCCTCCCTGGTGGCGAAAGGGGTTAAGACTCAACCTATGAAGCTGCTCCACATCCACTGCAACGTGAGTTGATCCCCGGTCAGGTAGCTATCTACATGGCGCAGAAGACCTCTCCTGACTCGCCCACTGCTCCCTTCAGCAGTGTGCTTCGATCGATCTGCCTGTTCTGTTCCCTGCTTTGTCTCTGGTGAATCCTCTCCCCTCCACACCTCTGGCCTGTGCCCCAGCTCTTGTATGCATAAATAAATAAATAAATAATAAAGCATTATAATTAACAGAGTTTATAAAAAAAAACAAAGGTTTTACTACTTTTGATTATATACTAAAACTAAATACTACTACTGGTAATATTTTTATCCATTTGATTCAAGAATTTAAATAGTCATCTATACATTTATTGGCCTCTTGCATGTCTTCTGAACTCTATTTTTATCTTTTATTATTGGGTTATTAGTTTATTAAGCTTGATTATGAAAGATTATGTCCTGCAACCATATAACTAGTTTTCTTCCTTTTTCCCTTCAAGGACTGACTGAGCCCTGACAACATGCTAACTCTCTTCTAAGTACTGGAGATAGAACAATGAATCAGAAGACAAGGTTCCTGGCCTCACTGAATTTACATTCTAGAGGGGAAACATAACACTAATGTAATAAGATGGTTTCTAATCTTGTTATAAAGAGTGCCATAAAGGAAATAAATGGGGTGATTAGAAGATTTAGGGGAATGGTCAAGGAAGGCACCTCTGAGGTAGTGACAGACAAACTGAGACCTGAAGAGTCACCTAGGCAAGGACATGGTGGAAGTGTGCCTTAGGCAAATGAAGTAGGAAGTATGAAGGTGCTGAGGGGGGACAGTCTTGGCATAAGAGAGCAGGTTAGTACATAAAACTGAGGAGGGGTGGAGCAGATGAGACTGCTGAGTTAAGAGAGGCAGATTATGTGGCAGATTATGTGAGTTAAGAGAGGCAGATTATGTGGTACCTTGTAGCCACAGTAAGAAGTCTGGATTTTAGCTTAACAGCATTGGGAAACCATCCTTCACTAAAGCAGTAATACTTTATTGCCAATTGAGTTAACTTCAGCATGCACTCAAGTTTAAACAACATTTAAAAACATTGAGTCGTTTTCTTTAGGACAAGATAAAGTTGATATATAAAAATCCATTACACTCAAAAACAGTAAAATTTCACATTGTACTAAGGTGACTACTAAAGTACAAAGTGTCTTTTTTTTTTTTTTTTTTTTTAAGATTTATTTATTGGGCCTCCCCGGTGGCACAGTGGGTTGAGTGCAGCGCTGTGAACCTGTCCGCAGCCTCTGCAGTGCAGGTTTGATTCCCGGCCGATCAGGAAGATACCCACATGGCGTGGCAGACCTCTCCTGTCTTGCCCGCTGTTCCCCTCAGAAGTGCTTTCAGTCATCTGTCTATTCTGCTCCCCGCTCTGTCTCTGGTGAATCCTCTTACCCTCCTGTGCCTCTGGCCTGTACCCCAGCTCTTGTATAAATAAATAAAATTTAAAAAAAAATTTATTTATTTTTGCATAGAAGAATTGGGATGTAGGCCAGAGGTGCAGGCAGTGAGAAGATTCATCAGTGACAGTGTGGGGAGCAGAACAGGCGGATTTTACTGAAATACACTGCTGAGGGGAGCAGCAGGCGAGACAGAAGAGGTCTGCTGTGCCTTATGTGGGTTAGCTCCCTGGCCAGGGATTGAACTCAGGCCGTGGCAATGACAGTGCTGAGACTTAACCTCTATACCACTAGGGAGGGCTGTACAAAGCTTCTTACCTAACGTCAATGTCTAAGTTTTCTTCTTTGGATTGTCTTATGCCCTCAAGGACGGATTCTACATAAGTCTTTTTCGTCATTCCTAGAAGGGACACACGAAAAACACATATCAAGAGATCATCAATTATTCATCCAGTTTTAGTATTAACAACTACATTTTCACTTTATGTTATAACAAGGGCATGTTATAAAGAAGTTAAAACATGGCTTTTATGGATACATTTTAGTAAATGCTAATTGTATTTTAATAAAATTGAAAGACTAGAAAAATGAAAAAAAAAAGATAATTACAAGTCCATTTAAAATCTTAGAACAGCAGGCATAAAATTACTCACAAGTTGCTATAAAATTTTAAATGCTTATTCTAGGAAAATAAGAACACGTCCTGCTCTAAGGCATATCCTTTAAAAAAAAAAAAAAAAGACACCCCCCCTCCCCACTTTCCTCTAAAAGCAACATGTTTTCTATTTGTTCAGAAAACAATACTTTACTGAGTTGTCTTTTCCTTAATCCCACTCAACCTCAGTGTTTCCCATTTCCATTCAGTCTCTTCTCAGGCACTACAATGTTCTCCCAAGGCTAGGGGCTCAAGTTTTCTTCTGGAGGCTCTCAGAACCAGCTTCTCTAAAATACTCTTGTATACCCCAATTACTAAATGCTTACTTTGGCTAGAAAATCTCTAATAAAACACAGAAAAATTAAAACAATCTATAATCCTACAATTTGGAGATAACATTCTCTGCTTTCCTTAGTGTGTGTATAAATATATATAAAATTTAATAGATGAGATGCTACTAGGCATATGTATATTAAGAAAAATAAAGTCAGTCATGTAACACTGTATTCTGAGCATATCCCCAATGCCATTAAAGCATTTTTGCAAATATTTTGAATATTATTCCAACTTTTACTTAGCTATTCCCTTATTGTTGCATACTTGGGTTATCATCCCCTTCTGAATCTCCATTTGAAGAGCAAACTAGCTCTAATAATTGACAGATTTTTGTCTCTCCTTTCATTGCCCTCATTGGCATTACTTGAAACTGATTCTGGAGTTTAAAAATGTGAGACAAGAATCTTCCACTTGTCCTATTTCTACATTTACTTACTGTATATAATTACAGGAATTTTACCCCCAAATGATGACTGGGCTACACATGTTAGGGTGCAAGATGACCTGCTAGGCCTGTCTGGGTCATAGACAAGGAGCCAAGAGCGATCCAATGACACTACAAGATCTCTCTTGTTGCTGTTCTTCTATTGAAAGAGGGTCGAAGGAAATTCCTCCAGACCACATCCAGATCGTCTTATCTCTCCCCAGAGAGGTTTTACCACATCGCAGTTTGCTGGTGACCTAAGAAACTACCAGTCTCTGAGGAGTGACTGAATAACCTATGTCAGTGATTGTCACAAAAATCCTTGAAGCAGGGAGCAAAAATTAGCTTCTGTTTAAAACAACCTGCAACCTGCAACTATAAGGAGCAAGCATCTTTTTCTGAGAGTAAGAAAAAACAAACAAGAATAAATTTTTAGGGCATCCCTGGTGGCGCAAGGGGTTAAGCACCACACTATGAAGCAATCCACAGCCTCTGCAGCATGAGTTCGATCCCTGGCCGGCCAGGGAGAAACCCACATGGTGAGGCAGGCCTCTCCTAACTCGCCCGCTGCTCCCCTCAGCAGTGTATTTCAGCTGGTCTGCCTGTTCTGTTCCCCACTCTGTCTCTGGTGGATCTTCTTACCCCCCGCATCTCTGGCTTATACCCCAGCTCTTGTATGCATAAATAATATAAATCTTTTTTTAAAAAAAAAAATTTTATAGGTCTTTTAATTCCCCTTAAATAGATAATTCCTGACCTGATTCTTAAACTTAAGAATAACTCCATCATAAATAATGTATATCATTAATATACATCAGAAGACTTGGACAGCTAGTTTTTACAATAGTGTAAATTTTTTACAATAGTGTAAAACTAAGTACTTCATATTCTTAATGTGCAAACACATGAATGATCAAAGCATACAGGAAAGGAGACATACATTTGCTGAGAAGTAATTAAATCCTACCTGTGGCATTTTCTGTTCTGGGTGTGCTCCTTAGCTCCAGGTACTTGACTCCATCATCTGCGAATTCTTTAATGACATCTTTTGTGACCTGATGATATAGGCAATGTCCGTAATATTGACAATGTTAGTGTAAGGGTCCCAAGTGCTACCACTTTATTTCATTTATTAAATTTGTAATTCTCGTAGCACTCCGTCTGTGACTATGCAGGTGCTTCCTTTCACCAACTCTCCCTCCGTAGGGCAGCAGCCTCCTGCCTGCCTGTGACCTGTACTATTCAGGGGGTTCTCTTCACTGACCTCCTTCAGCGGAGGCCACTCTCCTTGAGGCCACCTGCCTGCAATCATGCAGGCCTCTCAGCAAACCTGTCCCTTTCGGGGCAGCTCTTCCTGCCCGCTTGTGTCTATGCAAGTGTCTTTTACTATCCTATCCCTTTTCTAATAAACCTGCTCTTTAAATAAATAAAAAAAAAAAATTGGAATTCTCCCTTGTGGTCAGGATTATCCTCTTGGTCACACACACAATGGGGACCATGACAGAAATGCAGTATTTGCAATAACTCCCACACTCCACACTCCCGAATTAATCCAAATCTATACCTTTTGTTTCTTTTCTCTCTTTTTATCTATTTTAACCATTTCTCTATTTTCTGGTGTTCATAACAGCAGACTGATAAAACAGAAATGTAACAAAATTAAAACCATCTATAAGTGTGAATACTAGAAAGCTACATATGGAACTATGCAGATAAAATGATTAGGCATTACTAATGTACCATTGGCTTAAGGTTCCTATTCAATTATTTAGGAATAAGTTATATTTTTCAAGAAGTTCTTCAGGCAGGATTAAATTCCCTCTATAACTACTTAGAAAAATTCCTCTTAGGCAAAGAAAATATTTATTATCCAAAGAAAATGTGTGATAATATGACTGAAACAATATTCAATTCAGCACAAATCTTGATAATCCAACAATTATTAAATGACCAGCGTGACTGACATGTCAAGGTGGAAGACATGTTTTCCTTCTCCATCATCAATCCTAAAATATACCAAATATAGAAGAGAAAGGACTAAGTTGGGTGCTGTGACAAGCTGTCCTTATTAGTCCTTGGAAATGGCATCCCAGTGTCAACCTGGTATGAACAGATGCACATGGGCATGCAATTGCAGCATCCTAGCAAAGGAATGTGGTTGGCTGGTTGTGCCGACAATGCCTAACAGGGTGGCACTACCTCAGTGGAGTCACTGCAATGCAATGTCTGGGTCTCATCTTTTTTCTTTCTTTAAAAAAACTAATGTTAACATGAAATTAATTATAACATACACGCTACGAGTGGCTGATTTGCCAGGAGTTCTGGAGAATCAGTCTCAAGAGACTATACAACTCAGGACAACACAACAACATTCAAAATCATGTGACATCACTGACATCAAGCAAGACACCACTGCTTCCTGTAATGGTGAGCATGACCTGGCAACCTCTGTGCCATCATCAAGGGCGCTGGCCTCCATGGAACTCTACAGTGCTGCCACTGCAACCACTAGAGCATAAGCCTTGTCTTTGTAGGCTGAGGAACTTGGATTGTGTCACTGACGCAGAAATGAACAGAACCCAAAGAGACCAACTTACTCTATCTCAGCTCACAAGAGACAAATGCAGAAACCAGTTTGTTAATGTGTGCATGGGGGTGAAAGTGAGGGTGTGAAGTGGTAGTCTTGCTTGGAGACTGAAGCGATCACATCTACAATCCTGGCGTTTCCCCCTTCCTGCTGGTGAGGTACCTGTGAAACCCAATGGTTGCTGGCAAGTGTGGAATGAGAGCAATTTCAGGAACATTTCTCTAGGGCAAAGTGTGACTTGCAGAATCATCCATAGCCCATGTCCAAGCTCACTTCCCTGGGGTTCACATCTGTGTTCACCAAATTCAGTCCCTTCTGCTCCACATAGGAACAGGTAGTGAGGGCAACTCTTGCTGTTTGTGCTTTTCTCTCCTGTACTCTGGACTGAGGACAACTACTCAAGTTCTTTCTTCAGAGTACATCACAATTCATTAAGTTTCTGCTTACTTGAGATATGATAAGACCACATATCTTGAATCTCAAATGAGAAAAAAAACAGACTCTGGAAACCAGAGGGAGATAGTCAATTCTGTCACTTACTCTCTGCGATTCACCTTGAACAAATTACACCTAATCTCTTTAAGCTCAGGTGTTTTGTTGTTGTTTTGTGGCCTGCAAAAAGGGAATAAAAATACTCACCTCAGAAAGTGGTCCTAACAAACCACCAACCAAAAAAAAAAAAACAAAAACAAACCAAGAATGTAATCATGCAGTATCTGGCACATGTAAAAGCTAGCACTTATTTCAGTGATGTTCCTGTTGAAATTATACCCAGGCTACCTTGACTGGACTTTTATGGGATTCCCCACACCTTCAGTTCCATATTTATAAACAATCCATTTGTTGGCTTATTCCTATATATGGTTCATATATTCTATGTAAATGCTATTAATTTCACTCTCTGAGGCAACTCACTATCATCTGAACCACCTACAGGTGTTCATCCCAGTAGCACTAAGTCAAATATATTGACTATAATTCCTCATCTCATCTCAATTTAGTGAAGCTTTTCACCAATTTCTAAAGGTGAAAAATAATGAGCGTGGCATAATTGTACCCATGGAGTATTAAACTCTCAGAATCTAAAATTTTATCAGTTTAGTCTGTGACACTCAACAAAAGAAAGTGAGACCAAAGTCCTAGTGGTGGACACTCACAGTGTGCAATGGTGTCTGCCAGGTGATTGACTAGACAATGCTTCTTTGGGTTTCTACAGTTCCCTGTGTATGTCCCTAACAAAGAGCTAAACACACTGTGTTGGTTGTATCTGTTTATGGGTCTGTCTCTCCCAGCTGACTATAAATTCCTCAGGGGAAGGGACCATGTCCATCCACCATTTTATATCTTCTAGTTTTTAGCACAGTGCCTCGAACACCATGAGAACACAGGTAACTTATGTTGAACTTTATAACTCTCCTCCAAAGGTGACTGATTTACTTAAATACTTATCATGAGGATCAGTCTCAGCCAAGGAGAAAAATTCTTTCCTGATCAGTCAAAAGTTGGCTCTCCAGAAACACAGGTTATACTTTCTACTTCACATTTTTTTCTAGTGGCTAAGAACACTGATAGGATTTTTCCATTCTCCACTTACAAAGAGAATACTTTAAAATGTCATCCTGGTCAGATCAATGATACAGAATCAGTCTTCCACATCAGGCTCTAGTAGCACGGTCTATCAGATAAGAGAACACATTGTGTTCTCTAGGCTTCCATCAACAGAAGAAAGGCCTAATTCCCCTAGGGGACTGATCATTGAATCACTATGTACCTTGAGTTTCTTCATGCGATGTAACTTCCACCCAGGCAATTAAAAGCCTCCCAAGAAATACTGATAAAGCCTTATCAAAGATTCACTTATGGTCAAATACTTATTATGCCATATTATATAAGGAAAACAGGACCAGATTTTCTCCCTCATACTGTGCTCTAACTAATAGAAGACATTGATGTTGGTTCTTTCCTCCTGTCTTTTAGGAGTCAGTTGCTTTTAGCTCTCAGGCAAATGTCATGCTTGGTTTTGAAAAAAGTTGCCATAAAAAAGGAAACATTTTCATCAGACACTTGATGAAAGCAAAAGGTCACGTGCAACAAAAGAAGGGCATAAATAACTTAATTTTTAAAATAGTACAAAAATTGACTCATTTCTCACCATTAGAATATCTTCAGGGCCAGTAGTAAGCTGATGAATAACTGGAAACATCTGGAAACATCTGTACACAAATGAGGTGTTGACATACTTTAGTCATCAAAATCTTGTCATTCGCAATAAACTCACTAAGCTGAATTAATGGGTTTTAGACTAACAGTAATTATATATTTCTAGAGAACTACAATAGGCATTTCAAAAATTATATTCATCTATAAGGGTTAAATAAATGGCTGAAAATATAACAATAATTGATATTTTTAAGTGGGGATTAACAGTTTCTCTTTTCTACCCACTCTGCTGATAACAGTAATCAGGGGGAAAAAATCTATAAGCCTGTATTTTCGATCTAAAGAATATTCCAATATAGTAAAATTTCACAAACAATACGAATGACTGAAAATACTGCCAATAGTCTGAATGTTGGAATAATGTTCTATGTCAAGTTATGGGCTTCAATATGAGCAGACTACTCTATACCTTTAACTATCAAAACGTGAATTCTGGGCCTCCCTGGTGGTGCAAGGGGTTGAGACAGCCTATGAAGCTATCTGCAGCCACTGTAGCACGAGTTTGATCCCCGCCGGCCAGGGAGCTAACCCACATGATGCAGCAGACCTCTCCTAATTCGCCCACTGCTCCCCTCAGCAGTGTACTTCGGTCAATCTGCCTGTTTCCCCACTCTGTCTCTAGTGAATCCTTTCACCCCCCCATACCTCTGGCCTGTACCCCAGTTCTTGTATGCATAATTTTTTTTTTAAATGTGAATTCTTATTATACAGTTTTCAGTTTCAAAATAGTGACTGAGGGAAAAAGAAGTATGTCCACAATCTCACCAAACTCACTCATCTAAAGTTCTTTTATTTCCCTTGTCAATGACGGTCATTCCACCAAGGATTTTAAGACCTGGCTTCTTGGCTATTAATTTCTTCATGGTATTAGAACTAATGGATCCATTCAAGTGGGCATGAAGTTCCTAAAACAAGAGAAAACAATCAGTAAAAAACTTACCAAGTATTCACTATATTCACAGCATCATATCAAGTATTTGGTGTTTGTAGTCAGAACCAGGCCAACTGCCTTTAGATTTAGATATATAACTGTAAAAGTTCATAAATTCTAGCTATAAATTTTACTTTTCTTTTGGGAAAAGAAACAACACAGATGTCATTATAATTAGCAATCACTCTATGGAGTCTGTATTGAATTCTCACCACTTTAGGTAATTCTGAGTAAAAGGTTGACTTCCATGGCTTCTGTTGTTCTTCTGCCTCTGTCATGATTTAGCAGAATAAAAAGGTCTTTCACCAAACACTCTTAATCTTGGTATGAGCAATACAATGTTTTCAGTCAGTAAGTTTTGTGGTCTTGAGTTTTTTCCAGATTCTTTTGCTTCCACAATGTTTGATCAGATTAGCTGTACATGGAGATCTGGGCTCAGCTTCACCTGTTTAAACAAATGTGAACAACTTCAGATGTTGATTAAAAAGCAAAGAACAGGATTTTGCTAATGTATCCTAAAAGACAAAAGTCCCTCCAAAACTAAATTAAAGTGAGCCAACAATCTGAACCAGAACCAAGAAAAGGCCTCAAGCTGGTAAGGGGTAAATTAAAATCTGTAATTTAGTAGGGTGTATTCCTTACCCATTAGCACTTTCTATAAAACTACAAATTTGTAAGACTTAACCTAAAAATTCCATAAAACCAGAAATTTATAAGGCTTATTTTGGGTTAAAAAGTTTACATTTTTGAAGTGCTTAAGATGCATAAAAGAAGAACAGCAAGGTTGGAGTTAGATGGAGCTAGGTTAGTCCTTTTACCAGTTCTACCAATTATCAGTTTTGTGGCCTTAGTCACTTAACTTCACGGCTTTAGTTTCCCTATTTGTGCTCAGGCCCACCTCCAGAGCTATCTCAGCCTTTCCTTTCTGGACAGCCTGCTACCCTTCCAGAATCTTAGCCTACTTAGTCTACTTCTTTTACAGAATCTTAGTCTACTTCTTTTACAGAACTAGCCTTATATGCCGAGGGTCCTCCTGAGCCTTCATCCTCTGAACTCATTACAAACTGCCCTTTCAAAGTTAAGTGTTTTGAGGATCCAGACAAACTTCAGATCTCATGCCTAAGACTGAATTGCAGGCCATACCTAACAAGTTTCCTAAAGTAATGGATGATACTCATAAATTTGCTGAAGAATTCAACATCATAATGCAAGCTTACAGGTCTGGTTTTTCTTACCTGCATTGACGAATTCATATGGTTGCTGGTGAGGGGTAAGCCAATCTTTGGATGAAATTTACCAGATGGGAAAACTCTCAAAATGACTTAGGTAAACAAACTCCTAACTTCTGGCAAAAGGCTAAAAAGTTGAATTGGCAGACTTCACTAAGCCACTTCCTCAGCCTTTCCTAAGCCTATTGATTGGAATAAAATTCAGGATTATACACAAAAGATAGGTGAGCCTTTTCATGATTATAATTGGCATTAAATTATCTTCAAAGAAAATTTATGTTTACCTTTTGATACTAGATCAACACATGTGACCTTCAATTCTACATATGTCAATGGACTAAACTAAAACCTTTCTCTTTTAATTAGAAGAAACTGGATGGAATGGGAAACTGTCTATTCAGATTTATTGAACATAGCAAATTAGCTTGTTCATACTTTAGATGAGCCACCTAAAAGAAAGACTATTAAGATCTTTCATCTTCAACTGTGTCAAATGAAAGTACCTATGCAGAACCAAAAAATCTCCTAGTTTTTGCCATTGCTGCAAAAAACCAGGGCAATGGAAGAGAGTTTTCCACAAACTTAAGAGTTTTAAACACGTGCAATCTTCCAATCGAGCTTTCCAAAGTTCTAATTCCTGCTGTCAGGATGCTGAAGAACTACAAGGGTGTTTCCCAATCAGCTGGGAAAGACTGGAAATAAGTCTCCGTCCTTGCTGACATTAGTCATAAACTGTTGCTTAACTCCACAGCTATGAGAATACCTACTTTGAAGTATTAAAATAGTTCAAAATTGACTTCTTTTAAAAAATAATTCCTGTTTCTAAGCCTATTCCCTTTCATTTAGGCCCCTTGCGAGATACCATCCTTCCCTCCTTAGTTCCTCATTCCCTACTCATCTATTAGGTCAGGACTTCTTAGGAAAGCAACATGCAGGCTCTTTTTATCTCAAAGGGGGAAATAACTCTACAGGTTGACAGTAAATGTCAAAATAGTCAACCTAGTGGGCCTCCCCGGTGGCGCAGCGGTAGAGCGCTGGGTTGCGAAGCTGCCCGCAGCCTCTGCGGCGCCGGTTCGATTCCCGGCTGCTCCCCGGCCACCGGAGGAGGGTCCCACATGGTGCGCAGACCTCTCCTGCCACCCGCTGCTCCCCTCAGCAGTGTACTTCGGTCCTTCTGCCTGTTCTGCTCCCCGCTCTGGCTCTGGTGAATTCTCTCACCCTCCCGCGCTTCTGACTGTACCCAGTGCATGTATAAACAAAACAAATGAACAAACAAATAAATAAATAAATAAAACATGCCTCTATAAAAAAAAAAAAAAAAAAAGTCAACCTAGTGAATTAATTTATTTACCCTGTATTGACAATATTAAAGTTGATCCTGGAGACAATGACCAATCATCCCTATTGAATTAGATACCATCCTCCTTATGCATAAGTTCTGATGTTGACAAAATTCATAGTGCACTTTCCATCAAGATTCAAATAGATTCTTCTGAACCTCTTTCCAGATTTAATCAATAGCCTATGAACAAAAGGCTTCATGGCTTTAAAGGGGAGTTTAACAAACCAACCTGTCTTTGGACATTCCCATTATCAGATTACCTTCTTCCTTTATGTTTATGAGAAGGAAGGAGATGCCCTTGAGGTATTCACCTAAAAACATGGAGACCACCCATAAGGTATCATAGCCAACAAGTGGACCCCAAAGGTAGCATAGGGATACCCTCCTTGCCTTAGAGTGATTGTTGCCAGTGCTCTTGTGGGTAAGGCCACTGAAGTAATCGTTGCAGATTACCTCGTAATCATTTTTGTATCTCATGCAATAGAAGTCATCCTGAATTACCTTTCGACATTTGAGTCAGTTGCCTTACATCCTATGAAAACCATTTGCTGACTGCTCCCCACAAAACTCTCCCGTGTTGTAATAAGCATAACCCAGCAACTCTTCCTCCTTCAGTTACTTATGAAGTTCACAACAGTCTGACACCAACAGAATACCTCCTCAATCCTTGTGATGATATACAAAAACCTCCTTTGGAAAATGCTGACACCTCATGGTTCACTGGTGATGTCTGACATCACTGATGGTTTGTCATTAAAAAGTAAAAAGGTAAACTGTGCTGGATATGCAATATCAACACACTTTGATGTAATTAAAGTGGCACCTTTGCCTTTGGCTACTACATCTCCACAAACCAAATTGTACTCTCTCACGCAGGCCTGTATCCTAGCCAAAGACAAGACAGAAAACATTTATACTAATGGTAGACATGGCATTATTAAGACTCCAGACACTCTTACATTGACACTAGGCAAAAAAGGAAGTCATCTGGCTGGTATTTCTGTGAAGAATGCTGCTTTTAAAGCAACCAATAGGAGACAAACATCTGTGCTTGGATAAAGGGGACATTTCTCCAACTGATAACTTAGAAAAACTGGCCAGAGAGGCCCAACAATTGGGCCCAGAAAAAGAGAAACAGGATTGGAAATTTAGTAACGGATGGTTTGAGAGCAATAGAAAGCTCTAGTTTGGACCAAATAACAACCCAATCCAATCAGACTAAAATTTCTACTCCTAACCATGGTTCCTGTCTACCAACAAAATGATAGCATTCATAGATCAATATGGGTGAAGAAACAGTAATAAGGCCACATGTGCTTGTCGCACAGTCCAAAATATAAGCCTGTTCACATGGCTCCTGTCCATTTCAAATTACCTAAGGTGCATCTGAAGTCAGGCAACTGAATTTCCTAATAGCTACTATCCCCATCTCAAGGATATAAATATGTTTTAGTTAGTTAGGTTTTCTCACTGCACTGAGGCTTTCCTTTGTAAACAGTAACTACCTCTTCAGTGGTTAAGTCCTTTGGGAAAAGATTATATGATTACACCAACTTGAGGAAGGAACTCTCTTGAACTTTACTGTGATTGAGGAACTCATTTTACTGAATACGTCTGACAAGCTTATGCCATTTGCAACATTTTCACTGTGCCTATCACCCTCAATCACTGAGTTTAAATGAATGTACCGATAGCACTATTA